TACGCAAGCTATTATTATCCTCGTTTACAGTGAGAAAACTGAGAACCAAGAGAGTTCAGGAACTTGACCACGGGCTTTGTACATGACATTGTTTTTCAGGCAACTTGCCTCAGTTATCTCTGACAAGCCTACAACAAGCTTTCCCACCACTAGCACCAACTTCTGGCAACAGGCAGTACTTGTAATGAATAATCCAACTGAGACAGCATTCAGTTTGAGATGCCTATCTGTTCTTTTTGAATCAACACTGAAAGCAAATGAAATAGAATTATTTCCCACAGACTTCCTGAGCAGTAGAGAGAAATGTTTGAACTTTATTCTCAACTGAAGGACAATATTTGTGAGGGTAGCTCTGCATGCAAGTCACAATGAACAACTTCAAGGGGAGCAGGGAAAGCAGCATGACCATAGTTTGCTATTCTCGAGACTTGAAGTGGTTGGTACTTGTCCTTCTGGCTCACAGACCTCCTTGCTTGGCTTGGGGAACACAATGGGATAGTAGAAAGCACAGATGAGGCTTTTGGGGCCAAACAAAAAGGGTTTTAGTTCTGGGCTATCTGCCATACATATTGCAACTTTGAAGAAGTTACTTCCTCATTTGCAAAAATAAGGATTGTTGTAAGGATTAATTTAAATTGTGTACGTGATGGTGCCCGGAATAGAAGAAATTGATATTAGCTTTCTTTCCATCCATGGACCCATCTCACTTCTCCACTTCCCCCACCCCCACTTTCACATTGTCCAGAGTCCTCATTCTCTTTGCTTCCAACCCCTTATAAAATATACGAGCTGTTAAGTACTTTCACCCTGAAGTGTAAATGGCTACTAGGTTCAGTATTTTAGTTTTTACAGGGATGTTATTATTTTAACACAGAACTAAAATCTAATGTCCAAGGAATGAAATTATAATTAGGAAATGTAACCTGCTTTGGTCATAGAAATTCAGCCTTACTAAACACCATTCCCCATAAAATGGAGCCAGGGCTTCTTTGAGAAATGACTGATGTCAAGATAGGGACAGAGAAGTACAATACAAGGGGAACCTGGAATGTCTTTTGTATGGAAAAGCTTAAAAAGCAGTAGAAGTATGCAGAAATGACTCAGAAGCCAACTTGAAGGGGTTCCCATTAGCTGAACTTGGGACAGTTTGATGATTAAAAAGAAATAGTGGCAAGAATTTATTGTATCATATTGAATAAAAACACGTTTATGCGTCCATATTTATACTTTAAAAAGTAAAAGGTAGATATGGAGATAAGAGGAAAAGTCTTTTTTCTTTTAACAGAATAATGTCAGCTAATAGATGTAAAAAGAATAATGGAAGTAGAAAAGCACCATTTTGTGACCATCATGGTAATAGTTAATTCACGCAATAATTAACAATGGAAGCTAAAAGCAAAAACATTGGGTGACAAACTTTTGGGGAACCATATATTCACACAGTCTCAAATTACTAAGTAATTACAATGGAAAAAAATCTTTACAATGGAGAAATCTGGTGGACACTATCTGACTAAATTATAAAATCTAACATCTCCCATAATCAGACAATCCAATGTCATATTCCTGCCAAGGCGACACACTGAGCTCCTATATAATCTCTGCTAAAAATGGTAAAACCAAATCTGGTCATGAAGAGACAACCTGACAAATGTTACTGGACTGGACTATTCAAAACTGTTGCTGTCATGAAATCACACACACACACACACACACACACACACACACACACACACACACACACACAGGCTGGGGAACTGACCTAGATTAGAGGAGACTAAAGCAACTTGGCAATAAACACAACGCATGGTCCTTGATTTCTTGATTTTTGGATTCCAGAGCAGGGAAAATAATTAGGGGCAATTAGGTACATTTAAAGAAGGATTGCATATTTAATAATAATATTGTATCAATGTTAAATTTCCCAAGTGTGATAATTATATGTGGTTATGTAAGAGAATGTCCTTATTCTTAGAAGATTTAAGGGTAATTTATTTTGTTCTATTGAAATATATATATGGAGAGAGAGAGAGAATGTGGCAACTATAGCCTAAAAACCAATTTGAACATAAAAAAAAAATACACCCCCAAGAGTAGGCCAGTTATTCAGTCCAAATGGTCAACTTAATTATTCCTCAGAAAAATCATGTGACGTTTATAAGAAAAATTGTATTCGAAATAACAGGTCCAGCTCATCTTCAGATAAAAAATGTCAAGATCTTAATCCATTCAAGGTCTCTCAGTCATGTATTTTAGTCACTAGGCTTCAATCAGCAGATTCTCTAACAGCGACAATTAATTTCACTCATCTAGATATGATGGCTTCGCTTGCTTCACAGTGTTAAACAAAAAGAATCTTGACTGCCTGAAGAAATATTTCAGTAGCAAGGGAAAGTACAGAAACAATGACTGAAGAACTGTACATGCTATATTTTATTTTGCAATGATTGTCTTTTAAAAAATCAGTTCTAACCACAACACACACACACACACACAAAAGAACACAATTTTTGGAGGTGATGGCTGAGTTTAGAACTTTGATTATGGTGATGGCATCATGAGTATACACAGAAGTCCAAACTCATCAATATGCATATATTAAATGTGTGTAAATGTTTGTATATCAATTATACTTCAATAAAGCTTAAAAAAATGGTTCTGATCTCCCCTAGGAGAATTCTCCTCTTTACATTTGAAAAGAGATTTTCTGAAGTATGCAATTTATTCATTATATGATCAGTTTCTTCATCTATAAAATAAAGATTAAAAGTGTTACCTACCTTGTCAGTTTGTTGAGGATAATGAATCAGCAAAGATGAAGAACTTAGAATAGAGCTTAGCACCTAATAAGTACTCCATACATTTTAGCTGTTATTATTGTTGCTGTTGTTGTCGTAGGTTTTTATAGCCTCAGGACTGGATATCTTCATGGTTACCAATCATGTTCATACAAAACACTGTTCCAGCGTGAAGTCCCATACGTTAATGAAATGTGCAGCTTCTCTCTTTTCTCTATAAGGCTAAGCCCTGATCAGTTTTTTAATTTATGTTTGTTTTGTTTTGTTTGGGGGATATCTGGAAAATATTTCCAAATCACATAACATAGTATTTATTTATTTGGTTAAATCATTTCAAAAATTTTATTAACCATAACTGGACTTCTAGGTATTTCCTACAACTGCTTCTATTAACAAACCCATCACACATCTTTCTTGGCATTTCTGTCTTTGTTTTTACAGCCCAACTTTTTATGGCTAGATAGCTCCCCCCTTCTTCTGTCCTTAAATGAGCTGATACATTTCTTCCTTTTAGCATTTTGGTATTTTAAGATGTATTAAATTCTATATAAGTTATATTATCTAACACATGGAGAGTGAGGAAGATACATTTCCTCAGGCAAAAATCACTTCCTGTATTTTCAACTGATATATGTGTGGAGGTTTCAGAATACCATGTTTAGCCACGATGGTTTCAAGTATAGTTTTCTCAAGCTATAATAAAATATAAGCAGTATCTCTAACACAGTGATCCCTGTCATTCTTAGAAATCATGCTCTTATTATTATTTCTGTGAACCTTGTCTCATGAATGTGATTTTATTCACTTTCCATTTATATAATGTAAATTAAAGAACTTCTTATTTTAAAATATTTATTTTCAATACCCTTGAAAACAATAGGAGGTACCTTGGGTAGTTATACTGTAAAGTTAGATTTTGCTTGCTTTTTAGAGACAAACATCTTTGGATTAAGTGATTAGCCACTATGTGTCAGTGTTTAGATTTTATTTTAAAAATCTGCTTACATGGATTAGAAGGATTTTTGTATAGAAGAAACAGGTCACCAACAGAATGAGGCATATGGATATCTCTTCTAACAGAGTGTAAAATGATGACATGTCTCGTAATTCATTTAAATAAGCTGAGCTAGAAAGTACAGGATTTATATGTTTAAGTGATACTTTAGGTTGGTTACATCATCAGTACATTTTACTAAATGTTTATTTTTGTTACCTGTTGTTTTTATGTTTTTGAAAACATAGCTTTTAAGAACATATACCTTGCTATTACATTTTTTTCTCATCTGAGTGCCTTAGGACAAGATAAAATAATCTGGACCAATTTTATTTGACTTAGAGCTTTGGGGTGAGTTTAAATATGCTTAATAAAATGAAATAGTTATATTCATCTTCACTCAATAAATGGCAAACTAATCATTCCTTCCCATCAGTGTAAAATGCAATTGATAGTATCACCCTATGTTGTGATTTATCTTTCATAACTTTTGTTTCCCCAGGCACTCCAGTTTTAAATTCTCTAAGGCAGCGTTTGTTTGGTGATTTGACACCAAGCCCCTACGTGAAATTATAACCATGGCTACGATCCCTTTCCATTTTGATGCCTTCTCAATGCAAGAACCAGGAATACCAACATGCTTCCTCTGTGACCATTTTAACTGTGTGGTTATGATACTATTGCCCCAGTTAAGGTTACCTGTCCATGCTTTTTTGAACCATGCTTTACCGTTCTGAGTGATGGTACCCCCACCTCTACCTAAATGACTGTGGACATTACTGCTGTTCAGATGATACTGTGGTGTGATACCCAGATCCCAACATCTGGGAGTGCTGTTGGCAGACAGCCATCAGCCTTTGTGAATTGCCTAGGCTGTCATGCCACCTTTCCACAATAGTCCACATCCAAGGACTCGTCAACTTGGTGGCATAAGGATCAAGCCCCCTTCATCCAAACTTCATTCAGACATCTCAGAAGGGTCATTCCAGCTTCAGAGCTCCCCAGGGATTGGTTGGGACTTTCAGTAGGACTGCATCACAGCCTTCCTTCTTTCTCCCCCTGAGCACTTCTGCTTCCTTTCCTTCCCTTCCATGGCTGTTATTCCCAAGAGCACTTCTTAATAAACCTTTTGCATGCTAATCTCCATCTCGGAGTCACTTCTTGCAATTTTTTCTTATAGTATAAATTTGAAATCCCTTGCATTGTAGATACATTCATCAGTGACAGAGATGACTTCACCCTTAATTTGAACTTGTACTTCTTCATTGAAACTCTAGAATAATCTCTTTTTGGGCAACCCAACAGGTTAGTAATAACATCACTTGTAAATACTGAACTAAAATGCATTAAAAAGCAGTATCATTAAGTGATATAAAATCACTTAAGTCTATAAAAGCCCCAGAAGCAAAATTCTCAGTGTCATGCACAGTCTCCAAATGAACATTAATTTCATAACAGGAGTGAAATTATTCCCTTTTATACACAGTGGAAAGTAGTCCACATCCTTTATCCCCTTTCTCCAGTTTCTTTCTCAATAGTCACCATGGCTGAAAATACCTGTGGGGATGAAGTTTGTCCTAATCCGATCACCTAAAAGTTCAGATCTACTGAGTGCCCAAGTCAATTCTGTCCAAGATTGTCTCTTTGTCAAAGCCTAAAACTCACCCATGGTTAGCGTTTGGGATTGGTCTTGCTTCCCTAAACCCAGTACAGTATTTAACAGAGCTAGGCACTTGCACTGACTGTGATCACAGGTCTGAGAACTAGAAGCTGTTTTAAAATGTCAGTTTTTGTCATCATCTCTCTTCCCTACCTAGGGTTTGTAAATCCCCTTGCCCAGGGCCTGGGCATTCTTATTTCAAAATATCTCCCAGATTCTGAAAACTGTTACAATCTAGAATCTACATTTCTACAATCTAGAAATGTCTCCTGTTGCATTTAACTGACTGTGGATCTCGATGCTGATCGGATGTTGGATCTTCTGTGTGGGGGAATGCTTCAGGAATGAATGCTTTGCTGGCAAGGTCCACTGGATTGTCTGCTGCTGATATGGTGACTCTGCTAGAATGGCTGCTCTTTTTGAATGTCCAGTTCCATGCCTGTCCAGGCCAGGGTTTTCTTCTAGCTGGTGAACACCCTCAGCCATTCAGGGTATCTACATATCAGCAGAGAAAACCTTAGACTTCTCCATTTTTTCACTCCATGGTTTGAGTGTGCAAGACATAGATTTCCTCTTTACAGGAGAGCCTACTACAATTCTTTTTAAGGTACTTAATCAGGGATTTTCTCCTTTTATCATGAATCCATCCACTTAGAGTCCAATTCAGAGCTTAAAATCTCATCCTGACATCGTCTTTCTCTTAAATTTTTTTGGTTTATTTTAAAAAGGTAATATTAGTTCATTTTGGTAAAATAGGAAAATGAAAAAAAATAATCACAGTGAATAACCTCTACAAACATTTTAATATATCTTCTTTCAGTTTTTTTAATGAGTGCAAACACACGCACACACCTTAAGACATATAGTTAAAATAGATTGAGCAACTATTATGAGCTAGGAATTCTGTTAGGCATTTTATATGCATTTGGTCTTCACAGCAACCATAAGAGAAAATGTGGAGAGAATTGCTGTTTTTGTTTTTGTCTGCAGGCATCCAGCTCCCCTACTCCATCCACATGGGGCAACCACCCCATGATTTCAACTTGGGTCTACAGTCCTGGTGGGGCAGCCAGTCGAGGTCCTTTGTCCTCTTCTGGCAAAGGGTTGGATACATATCCCTGATAGACCCATCAGATGCCCTTCCTGCAACTTGAATCTTGAACAGAATGACTCAGAAAGACTTGCAACCATTTTATCATATTCATCTGGGTGGTGCTCTCCTGAAAAAACTTCTTATAATTTTTGCTACCTCGATCTGATGAGCTGCTCTGGGACCTGCCCTTTCCCATGCAGAGTTCTTCAAATTTTTCTCCGAATCTGTGAGATTTTCTACACTTGCAATAATATTGTTTTCTTTATAGTTACCAGGTTTGATTTCACCCACTTACCACCAAAAAAATCCCTAAGCAATATACACATGTACAGAAATATACAAGTATTATTCGAGTTTACAGATGATAAGATCACTACAGAAATTTTCTAAATTATTGTAAAGTACAAAGAAGGTAAAACTTACCAATTATTCCAAAACCTAGATATTATCATTATTACTATTCACATTTTTGTTTATTTCCTTTAGTCTCTCCTCTCTCTGTGTATATATACATACATATATACACACACATGCGTCCACAGATATGTGTCTATATATATACAGAGAGAGAAATCCATACTGTATGTACAGATTTGTATCATCACTTTTTAATTTTAATATTATTTTGTAAGCATTTTCCTGAGTAATTAAACTTCTTTCAAACTATTTTAAGATCTACAATATATTTTATTGTATGGATGTATCATAATGTAGTTAATCATTCCTCTTTCAGACATTTAATGGCTGTTTCTTTTTTTGCTTTGATAAATAGCACTGCAATCAACAACTTGGTTGGCATCTGATTATTTTCTTAGAATAGATTCTGGAAGTAAAATTGACTTAAAGGCTTTGAACATTTTAAAGATTCTTGATATCTATTCTCAAAAACTTCTCAGAAAGATTGTGCCAATTTATAATTCCATGGCTAGTGCTTCAAAATTAGTTGTATTCAGTTCTCCAAATATGGATGCTGACTTTTAGGAATGAATGCCAGAAGTTGGAAAATAACAGCCTATATTGTATCAGGCATTTCTTTAATATCTTTTTTTCCTGGTATAATGTAATGCAAGCTAATTTTATAATTAAAAACTTAGAAAAATATTCTAAAATGCTTGTTCCAGTTGTATATGCAAGTGTACTTTACTCTTTTCAACATTGTTTTGTGTTGTTTTATTTCAATGATTCATGTTTTGCACTTTTCTAACTTTTCATATTTGTTTGAAATATTTGTATTTCTTCTTCTCTGAATTCACAATCATGTCCTTCACATATTTTCCCATTAGATCTAGTACCATGAGGACAACTGGGCATCCTTCCCTGAGGACCTATTCTCTGCTTGTATAAAGCCCAGAAGGATAACTCCGTTGCCCCTCACTTACTCTTCTTAAATACTTCAAGTAGTTTAATCACTTGTGGCTCTTAGTAGTAAGTGTTCTCATACACTTCTAAGCATATATGGTTGCAGTAACTCATATTTGCAAAGGAGTTTTTAATTCATAAAAATCTTCCACATCCGTTATTTTTGCCTCTGTGAGGTATGCAGGGCAGGTTAGTGTCATTAGCATTATTTCAGGAATGTGGTGGTTGGGTTCCAGAGGAGAAAGCTGTCATCATTGCCAGTGAGAAGTAAAGTCAAGACTCAGACAAGGTCTTCAATTCTTAGATCTTTTACTTTTCATTAAGTCATATTACTAATGTTGCTAGTGTCCCGAAGTATAAAATACTTCACACAAGGTAAGAAAGTTCTGGAATAATGTTAAGGGACTCAATAACAAATGCATGTACTGTATTTTAGAATGAGACTGATTTATATTGGCGGGCTTTTAATTGCAGTCATCCATCGGTTTTAAACTTTCAGTGTCTAAGTATAAAGATGCAGTAATAGAAAGGATCCAGCTGCATTTTTACACAGAGCATGAATTGATGAGTTTATGAATGAGTTGAAGTGATGTAAATCAACAGCAAGACTAACAATATGCCAGCCCATTTCAATAGCCTAAGCTATACATCAGTACCTTGGAGAGTTTCCAATTTTACAGCTCCCCCTCCCCCATGAACATTCTCAGAAAAGACAAGTTTTCAACCGTTAAAGAAAAATAAGCATTGTACATTGATATCTTCCATGTTTTTTGAAAACTAAAAGATCATTTCATTTTTCATTTTCCTACCTTTTGCCTCATTTAAAATAAAATTGCCCATGGTTTGTAATCTCGTGAGAGCTTATTTGATTTAAGCAGCTTTATAGTATTTTTCTCCCATAGGAAACACATTTCTTTGCCTTATCTGCAAATTAAAATATCGTTTTCTAATGAGAGCCTAGAAGAAAATCAACTCTCCCTATCTGGAGTGGTTTTTATTCACGGGTAGGATCTATTTCTGCAGACGTTGTGGAAGCAGTGTGGGTCTCCATAGCTGTAGCCAGGAGCTTGTCCTACCGGCGAGGAAGGAGGCCGGAAGATGCCCGAGCCGGCCCTGCGTACCCTTAGGCCCCCGTGGCCGCTTCTGCCCTTGGGGCTGCGCCTCAGCAACCCCCAACCGCGCACGCGCACGCGCACTCGCTGCCCCCCCACCCTAGCTGCACCTGCCAGGTCATAAACCCCTTCCCACCGTCTCGCTCGCTCTCTAGGAGGCACAGTCTTGTCTCACGTTGATTGGTCGAAGCCCAAGAGGGCGTGTCCAATCAGCAATCCCTCCTGCTCAACCTATTCCCGCTCTTCCCGCCCCCTCCCCGCCCCACCCGTCCCCCTCCGGCACCTATCTTCTTTGTGACTGGTGCGCGCCCAGGTCACTCAGTGCGGAGGGGAGAGGTGTGCCGGAGTGGGAAGGAGGGGTGGAGGACGACGGGGAGGGGAAGGGAGGGGAGGGGGCGGGGCTCAGGTGCTGAGCAGCGCGGCCCGGGCCAGACGGGGGAGGGGGCGAACTGCGGGGCGGGGCAGGGGCAGCGGCGAGGAGGGGGTTACGCCGGCGACGTCGGCAGCGCGAGGCTTCGCGCGTGAGCGGCGCGGTCGCTGGGCCTGGCTACCGAGCTTTCCTGACGGGCGAGCAGGTCCTCGACACCGGCGCCTGGCGGAGCGCGGGGAGGAGGGAGGTTTTGGTGTCAGCGGTGTAGTTGACGGCAGTCCCGGCCATGGAAGAGACGCAGCCGCTTCCGCAGTCCGAGCTGCCACTGTGCGACAGCCTCATCATCTGGGTGAGTACCAGGGGGCGAGGGGGGCCGGGAGACCGCGGAGAGGTCCTGGGGGGTGCCTGGTCACTGGCACCTCTCAGGTGAGCCTGCGGAGCAGCGGGGACCACCTGCGCCGTAGCGGGGGCCACCTGCGCCCCGGACTCCGCGCATTGCCCTCCGCGCCTCGCGTCGCCCTTGACCGCGAGAGTGCCACCTGCGGGTCGCGGGGCAGGTGTGCGTCCGTGAGTGAGTGTGCGTGTGTTTATGTCTTCGAGGGCGGGGGGAGGGTAAAGGGAGCTCTGGGGGGCGGGACGGAGGAGGCTCGTCTTACCGCCCTGATCGTGCTCCGAACAGCTGTGGCGGGAGCCAAGCGCCCATCCCTTTACTCCCTGCTCTCCCATTTTCTGCCCCTGCCCTGCGCCCAAGCCCTAGACTTTCTGGGCCACTGACACCCTTGCCTTCCGTCTGCTGAACAGTCTTCCCACAGTGACCTTTGTGTCACTTGGGAGTGAAGACCCCCGCTGAAACCTCCCTCCCACTGCAAGCACCTTCCTCTACTTGGACACGGGTGACCAAGAGGTGGTTTTAGTTAGTGGATCATTGCTTCTCCCTGACCCCAGGACATCCATTTTTGTAGAAGCCTCTTAGAAGAGATGTTTCCACGTATTTCCTGCGTGGATCAGAAGATATGTTAGGGGTGGGGGCATGTATTCCCTTTTTCTCACTTGTTCCCCTCCCCTTCCAATGGACAAGCATTTTCCTTAAAGAAAAGAACGTGGCATTTTCGTTTGCACTTTATCCGCGTTTAGTATTTCTGTTAATTTGTTGGGTTTGGACGGGCAGGATCTGTCCCCACTATTCCCACCAGCAAAACAATGTCTCTGTCACCTTTTGGAGGTGCTCAGCGATCAGAGAGAGCTGACATTCAGGTGTGGCTTCTAACCCACATTGGGCAAGGTTGATGCTCGATGGTCCACAAGGTGCTGTCAATGATGCTCATCCCTAAACCAGTTGTTTAGTTTTGTGTAGGGGACTGTGTGCAGAATGGAATGTAAACAGACTGGATTAGGAGGCGGTAATTGGTTGATGAGATTCCCTGTCTATCTCACAATGCATGTAATTCAAAAGAATGAGAAATTAGGGAAGGTTTCTGACAATGTGTGAAGTTTATTGGAAATAACCATAATGTAAAGCAACCGTTACACTTTGGAGGTAAATAGCTTTTGCTTTAAGTAGAATGCAAGCATCTGGAGTTTCTGAGTTAAAAGCAATTAGCAAAGTGTTCATCTGTATTTTCACTTAAAAGAAGTATTGGGAGTGCTTCCCTGGTGGCGCAGTGGATGAGAGTCCGCCTGCCGATGCAGGGGACACGGGAACATCCCACATGCCGCGGAAAGGCTGGGCCCGTGAGCCATGGCTGCTGAGCCTGCGCGTCCGGAGCCTGTTGCTCCGCAACGGGAGAGGCCGCAACAGTGAGAGGCCCGCGTACCGCAAAAAAAAAAAAAAAAAAAGAAGTATTGGGATTTAGATGCCATGTTTAAGGCTGTCATGAAACAAGGCAACATTACTTCTAATGATGTGTTTTATTAAACAAGTGACTAATTAAAGGGTGTATCCTAATCTGTTGCATTGTTGCTCTAAACATGACTTACCTAGTAAACTTAGTCTTTATGATGTCATTGACTTACATGAGAGTTGGTGGTGAAGTATAGGATTTTCTTGAATTGTATTTCAAAATTTAAAATATTTTGTGACTGTATCCATTGTTTTAATCAGTATTAATAAATAGTGAAGTTCCTACTTTGTATAAGACACTGAGGAAGAAAGATATCAAGCATAATCAAAGAATTTTCAATTTTAATTGATGTGGTAGGCAGAGCTGTGTATTTTTTATAATGGAAGGCAAAATTCCTTAAAAACTGTAAAAATATTATTTATTTATATTTACTTTTATTTTTCTGGCTGCACCATGTGGCATGTTGAATCTTAGTTCCCCCGCACAAGGGATCGAACCCGTGCCCCCTGCATTGGGAGCACAGTCTTAAGCACTGGACCGCCAGGGAAGTCCCATGTAAAAATATTATTTATAATATAAGGAAAGAAAAGGAATCATAGGTGACAGAGTATAACTGGTTGTTCGCTTCTCCAGTTCTCTCTCAGGCTGTTGAAACACTATGGAGAAAATGGAATTAACGTGCAGACTGTTGCCTCTCAAATGCTGCTACAGCCAAATTCTCCTGTTCCTGTATACTGCCCAGCTTTATGATTAAGAATAACCACACAGTTCCTCTCTTACTTCTCCTTGCAAACCTTTATCAGTACTCTGTTTGAGCCCCAAACCTTCTTCCCATCAGGAAAACGACCTCCTCCTTATCTTTGGCTCTGGCTCTAGGTCCACCTCTTTCACCTCTTGTAAAACTTTGCTCTGTCATTTATCCCCTTTTGGTATTTATTTTTTTCCTTTCCATTAGCTCTTTCCTCTCTACATGTAAACTTGCTCGAATCTTCCCTCTCTTAAAAAGAAAAAGAGCCATCACTCCCTATTAAAGCTACACTGTATTCCCCCTCTTCCTTCACAGTCATATTTCTTGCATTTTTAAGTACTCATCCTTTATACTTTTTGAGCTTTAATTTACTCCTCAGCCCATTGCACTTGAGCTCTTTTCTCTAAGGCCTTCACGTACTGGGATTGGCAGACTGGGAACTATTATATTATACTTATCTTAATTGATGGCTCCTTTGTGAAATTATCTTCTGCCTTAGTTTCTTAGGTTCCTGCCTCTAGGCTTTTCTTTACCTCTCTGGATGATTCCCAGTGAACTTTGCTGTTCGTCAGCTACTGCATAGTTGGTCTTACCTCACCTCCCCAACTTTCTGCAAACTGGTCTCATGCCACACTCCTCCGTGCCCACCATGCCGTGTTGACTTTCTGTTTCTTGAAGTCAAGCTCTTTTTTTTTTTTTTTTTAATGCATCAGGGCTTTTTAACTTCTCTTCCCTCTTCCTAAAATATCCTCCTTCTGGTTCTTCCAATGGCTGGCTGGCTTCTCACCATTCAGTTCTTGGGTCTCTTGTCATCTTTCAGAGACAGTCTGTGACAGTGAGTGACCTACCTGTCTCCTACTCCTATCCCATTGTAACCTGTTAACCCCTTTTTGTTGTGTCTGTAACACTTAACATTTTCTGAAGTCATCTCGTTTGCACTTTGGGGTCAGAGCTCTTGTCTGACCTGTTTTCTGCTTTATTCCCAGAAACAAAAACTGACTAGGATCTGCAGTACAACATTGAATCAAAGTGATGATAGTAAATATCCTTGTCTTGGTCCTGACATCAGAGACTAGTATTTCACCATACGTTATTCACCACTAAGTATATAGGTTTTTGTAGATACCTAGGATAAATTTTTAACTATTTCATAGAGGATTGATGAATTTCAACAAGTAGAAATCAAGAGAAATGAGTTTTCCAGACACAGGGAAGAACTTCTAGCAGTAACGTAATAGTCTTCTTTGAGGATAGATTGAAAGAAGGTAATGGAAGACACCTTTGTCATGATATCCCTGGACTCTTAATGAATGTGCTCCCTGCCAAGCTAAGTAATGTTGCGTGTTGAGGGGAAGTTGTAGGAGATATAAGATTAAAAAACCGTTATGATGGGACTTCCCTGGTGGCGCAGTGGTTGAGAGTCCGCCTGCTGATGCAGGGGACGCGGGTTCGTGCCCCGGTCCGGGAAGATCCCACATGCCGGGGAGCGGCTGGGCCCGTGAGCCATGGCCGCTGAGCCTGCGCGTCCGGAGCCTGTGCTCCGCAACGGGAGAGGCCACAACAGTGAGATGCCCGCGTACCGCAAAAAAACCACAAAAAACGTTATAATGGAAGTGAGAAGACAGCTGGTAGTAAACTGTGTTCTTTCAGTACTGGACATTGTTCTAGGACAATAGAACCATCCTTAACAGAGAGGTCATCAAGAAAAGTTGGTTAGGTGAAGAGATGCCTGTTTTGGCAGTTCTTTAAAAGTTATATTTTATGATTTGGAGCTCACCTTAAAATAGTTCTTAGAAATGTTATACTGCTACTTAGCAAAACATTCAGGGCTGAAGGATAAATCTGGGCATCATTTACATGGTAGAGAGAGTTTGAAGTACGTGTGTGAAGATAAATTTAATTCTGCCTTTTGGCTCTGTGATTTGAAAATTTTAAATCTTTGGACTTTAATTTCTTCAATAAAGTTAGAGTGCTGGACCAGGCTTTCCTTAATGGTTTACTTGGTTCTTTCATTCTTTGCCTTCAACATGCCGGTGAAGGAAAAACTAATACCGAATGTATGCCCAAGTTACAAAAAAAAAAAAAAAGGCTGAATCATTTTTATGAAGATCTTAAAACTCAGAGCAGTGATTCTCTTTCTGAAATGAGCAGCTGACGGAAGAGAATTTGAGAATAATTTGAGAATAAAGTTGACCCAAAGTTGAGTTTTTGTTGGGTATCAGTGGTGAAAACCCCTTTTCTTCCTTGATTTCTTTGACGTTTATATTGAAGCAGTTCAGGAACAGCATTTCCACATTTCTGATTGTTTGCTTTATTTAAAAATAAAGAAGAAAGTAAGATGCTATTTGCCAGAGCACTGTGTTTAGTGATGGAAGCCCTGTTTGTCCTTTCTGGGTCACTCACCAAAAGACTTTTGCATCTTCACCTCTATGAAGAGTAGTCTGAAAGGGTACATTTTCTTTTGTCCCACTGCTTTGGCTTCACTCCCCTCACTGAGCTTTATAATTCATTCACACTTCTTGGTTATAAAGTCTTTCAATTTAGCCAAATGAAGTGACGTTCTCTGTTACCTAATTTATTTTGCAACTAGTTTAAGAGCTTCCAAGAAATACTTTTCATGGCTGTAAAAAGAAGAAATTGATCTTAATCTGGGCGTGGTGGACCATGAGGCACTCAGTGTATTTACTCCTTTTACATATTTCTTTACTATTTTGCCTAATATTCTGTGTCTCATGAAATTGCCTTCTTAAAATCACTAATCATATCCATTTTGTAGAAACTTAATGATGTAATGTGTAAGTAGGAAGGGTTGAGAAGTGGGAGCCACATTTTACCCGAACGTATATGATTATCTTCCTTTTAAAGATGCCCTAAACCCTGGGGTTTTTCTTCCTTGTACATCCACCCAACTGCAAAATCCTTCTTATTTTATAATTTAAATATTCCATGAATTCACGCTGTCCTGTTAGTCAGCATTACCCTAACTAATCTTAGCATTCCATGTTGTCAAAAAGACCATTGCAGGAGCCTTCTAACTGAGCAAGCGTAAAGCTACTCTCTCCCATTCTCTGTGTCACTCTTGCTACTATCCAAAACATACTAAAGATGTCTCTTCCTTGTTACTCTTTAGTGATTCTTCATCACCCAGAGCAATGGTTCTAAAGAACTGATGTACATAAGAATCACTTGGGGATTTTCTGATTTAGTTTGTCTGGAGATTCTGTTACATATTTTTCTTAGATGCCACACTTTGAGAAACCCTGACTCATAGCTAATGTGCTAACAGCTGTTGAGTTTGTACCACGTGCCAGGCACTGATCTGAGTACACTGTGTTTGCTAATTTATTTAATTCTCACAACCAACTTGTGAGGTAGAAACCATTCTACTGTTTCCCCATGATATAGATAATACCATTAAGGATAATTCCAAGTTTCTTGCCATGACCCCGAGTTCTGACGCATGCCTGTTTTTTATCCCCTTGGTTGTCTCCCTTAACAACTGAACATGCAGAGAAATCCAGCAATACTGAACTGCATGTTACCTAAAAATACCATATCTTTTCTTGTACTTGTGCTTTTATCATGTTGCTATTTCCTGAAGTTTCCTTCCCCTGGCCCTTTCTTTACTCAGGGTCATCCATTGGAATCATCTCTAAGAAGTCTTTAATAAATAAGTCTTTAAGAAGTCTTTAATAAATACTAGCCCTAATTAGGTTAGTTGACTCTTGTATATTTTGGAACATTTTGTGCATACTGCAGTCATGAGACTAGAAGTGACATCTTCTGCAAATGATTTGTGTCTTTTTCTCCTCTCCTTAACTCTGGATTGAAGCGACTTGAGAGTGGAAACCTGGTGTTTTTCCCTTGTAACTCCTTCCTATACTACAGTGCCCTACGTAGAGTAGAAGCTCAGTAAAGTATCTTTATCTTTGTGCTTTGAAAGTAACTGTGGCTAGATTTACGTAGTTTGTGTCATTCTTCCACTTTGTATAAGGATAATGGAGACAGATTTGTAGAATCTCAAAATACAACAACCACTAAAGGTGTATTATGGTGGTAAACTAAGGAATTATAATTGAATAGTAAAGGAGATGAATATGTGAGGGAATAAAGAATCATAGTATATTTAATTTAAGATATTTATGGATTGAGATTAGATTTCGAGAAAGTATATAATCCATTGAGCTCTGTTGCAATTTGCTTTAAAAAAATTCCTCTATCTTGTATTTGCTTATTAGGAAGAGTTGCCACTGTTTCACTTCTGTTTTTAAAATGTACATGAATGTTTAACACACAGAGATTTGAAAAGTTAGTAGCATCTAAAGCCAAACTAGATAGATACAACTTGACGTGATTGGTGGGCCCTGGACTGTTCATGCTCTAAGGGTAACTGTTGGTAACAGGCAGAAGTCCTGCCTTATTTAGAGCTTATTGATTAACTAGGTAGTTTTAGACTTGACATTTCTAGCTTTTGTTTTCCTACCAAATGATATGAGTGAAATTTTAACTTGCAGATGTTAGGTTATCTTAAAATTCTTTTCCTGATGTTATTCTCCTAAAAATTGACAAAACACAGACTATTACTATCTTAAGAGTTCTACACGTGTTTTTCAGAAATTCTGAAGTACTTCATGCATGACATCAATACGTTTGACTATTAGGTATGGTAATGATTTTATGAAATGTTAAGTATTCTTATAAAAATATAACAGTCATAGAAACATATTAGTATAATTTCATTTGTTTGGCAGGGTCTATTTAAACAAAACAGTTTTCTCTCTAGTGTTCATTCATGTATATAAATTGAGGGGGGAGGGGAGTAAAGCAGTTAAGTAACTTGCTTTATGTCATTTTAGCTGCAGACATTCAATACTGCTGCACCTTGTCAGGATGTGAAACAGCTGACTAATGGAGTTGCCATGGCACAAGTTCTTCATCAAATGTAAGTAGTGTTCCACACTCTTCCTGAAATAATTGTAAACCCAATTTCAAGGAAGAAAATTTAGACTTGTGTTCTAAAGGTTATTGAAACTTCATCCTTTCCAGTGATGACAGGTGTATTTTGCCAAGGCATTCTTGCATGTAAGGAACAAAAAATTTTACCACCTGATTATTTCTTGCTTGTTCATAGAGATACATCTTAATTAAATGAGCAATCAGGGTTCTTATCTATTCAAGAGATGTTAATTTTAAACTTGTTCTGGTCATGTTCACAAGTTATAGTTACTGAGAAAGAAATAGGTTAAATGAGTGATATAACTTCTTATACTATAATGTTTCCTTCAGTTATTCTGTTGTCATCTTAAGATATCAATACATGGAGATTATTATTTTTGAGATAATTGAAGCAGGAAATACTGGATTTGGAAAAAATATTAATTTAAAATCTATATTGAATTAATAATCATAATTGTATGAATCCACCAATAATGAAATGTTGTGTAAATGACATTTTAAGTCACAAATGCTGGGTACCTTAACCAATAAAGTGATTCTGTTTGGGTTGGGCCCCTTTTATATAATTATACAATATCAAAAGTTCCTAAATCCATTATTTCATAATTTTTGCCAAACATTGTATAAGGATTAGGGTTATACTATCTACAATATGAGTTGTACTCTTCTGTACAGGGCCTATTCTATAGTCATAATTTTTTAAAAATTAATTAATTAATTTTTTTGGGCTGTGTTGGGTCTTCGTTGCTGTGCACGGGCGTTCTCTAGTTGCGGCAAGCAGGGGCTACTGTTTGTTGCGGTGTGCGGGCTTCTCATTGTCATGGCTTCTCTTGTTGCAGAACATGGGCTCTAGGCACACGGGCTTCAATAGTTGTGGCAGATGGGCTCAGTAGTTGTGGTGCATGGGCTTAGTTACTCCACGGCATGTGGGATCTTCCCCGGCCAGGGCTCGAACCTGTGTCCCCTGCATTGGCAGGTGGATTCTTAACCACTGTGCCACCTAGGAAGCCCTGTGGTCATAATTTATTAGTTAATAGTCATACTGATTTTGTATTAGCTTACTTTCATCGTAATATATCTTCAGTGAGACCAGACTCCTATTTCTGCTACATGCTTTTATATATCAGAAATTATTTAATTATTGCCATCATTTTGTAAAGGTTTTTTATGATTGACATTGAAAAACTCTGTAGATGGATTAGAAAAAATTCTTTACCACTCTTAGAAAAACAACTTCAAACAATATAATCTTAGTTACTTGGAATCTTCAAAATGATCTAATTTGAATAGACAGATTTTATGGTTAACTCAAGATTAACACTTTAAAAGATAAATTTAGCATGTTAACATTTTTTTTTGGCAGTCATTCTAAAATATGCCTTACTCCCCTGCTTTCTTAAAAATGTTTCTTAATTATTTATTTATACCCTAATTGGTTTCAAAGTGATTTAATTGGTCAGAACTAAGAATTCTGAATATGGTCCTTTCTTGATGATTTGGGAAAGTCATCATTGTTTTTTGTCATTAGAACATACGACCTGGCCTTTTCTCATTCTTGTGCGTGTTGGTGTAGACGCAGCTACGTTGTTTTGGTATAGGTGTAAGGCCGGTGAGCATTCACTCACTTCAACAGTGCCATCCAAAGATGTCATTTATATGTATTGAAGTGTCTTTAATAGCTTTACACCACAACACAGTAGATGAGACCTGTTTTTACTATTATATGGTGATACATATGGCTCTTTGACCTCCTGTATGCTAGCACTGTACCTGATGTTTAGAGTAGGGTCAGGTCAATTTTAGTTAAACCGTATCCTTTATCACCAACTCATTCTTACATAATGTGTTGGATTCTGTTGTTACTGCTGATCCTCTGTCTCTCTGATTTTTCTTTTTTTATTCTCTCTTTTGTCTCTTACTGTCTTCTAATAGCTTTTCTGCAGGAATAATAAAATAGCCAACCAATCAGAAAGCTCTCATTCTTCATAAAACAAATGACAGTGACCTAAAATTGGGCCTAAACCTCTTTTTTGTTTCATTTGTCTGTTTTTGCATGTACTTAGGTGTCTATACCTCCTTATAGTATAAGAGCCAATTTAAATTTATTTTTCTTTTTGAACCCCCTTCCTCTTCTGTAAGCTTTTCAGAAGTCTGGATCCAGACAGTGAAACTTATAGCATACATTTTCCCCTAGTTGGGTCAGTTTATAATATTCCTGCTAAAAAAAGCAAATTTTACCTTATTTCTTTGAACACTTCAAAGCACTTTATATATGTTCCAATTTATTATGTATTGCGTTGATGGCTGTTGTGACTCACATCAAAGTTGTTACTGAAAATGAGAAGGAAAAATTTGCTTTTTAAGGAAGTAGCAAAATCTAATGAATAATTCTTTCATTAGTTACCTGAGGCAGGTATGCTTCTAAATAATAAAATCTTAAAAATCAATTCCCAGGGCTTCCCTGGTGGCGCAGTGGTTGAGAGTCCGCCTGCCGATGCAGGGGACACAGGTTCGTGCCCCGGTCTGGGAAGATCCCACATGCCGCGGAGCGGCTGGGCCCGTGAGCCATGGCCGCTGAGCCTGTGCGTCCAGAGCCTGTGCTCCGCAACGGGAGAGGCCACAACAGTGAGAGGCCCGCGTACCGCAAAAAAAAAAAAAGAATCAATTCCCAAAGTATATGACTTAGACATGGTGAGCCATGGAATTGTTGCTAGGATTCTACAATTCTTTAATTGTTTTCTTAAGTCTTAATACATAATATGTATCTCTTTTTTAAATGCAGAAACTGTTGTTATTTTAAAGACACATGGGGGGAAAATTATAACTACAACTGTATTCATACTCCATGGTTTCCATAACAGAGCCACAGATTAGGTGGCTTAAAACAACAAAAATTTGTTCTTTACGAGTTCAGGAGGTTAGAAGTCCTATATCAAGGTATTGGCTGGACCATGCTCCCTTCAAAACCTCTAGGTCAGGATCCTGCCTTGCTGTTTCTAGTCCTTGGTAGCCCCAGGCATCCCTTAGTTTGAGGCATCATAACTTGAATCTTTGTTTCCGTCTTCACACGGCTGTCTTCCCTCTGTGTCTCTTCTCCTCTTAGAAGGACACCAGTCATAATGGATTAGGGTCCACCCTAATTTAGTGTGACCTCATCTTAACTTGATTACATCTGCAAAGACCCTATTTCCGAATAAGGTTACATTCATAGGTAGTGGGGGTTAAGCCTTGAACACATCTTTTTTGGGGACATAATTCAACCCATAACAGCTATAAATAGTGCATGCTACTTTTTAGCTTTGTCACTTTAAGCACCAGATAATTTCTCTGTTTTTTTCTATTGTCTTTGACTAGACATTTTTATGAGAGGGAGAGGAATGAGACAGAATGTAGAATATCCAGAGACCTCAAGTATCATGCACTTACTTGTTCATTCATTCATTCAGCAGATATTTGAGCATTTAAAATAATAAATCATGAAAGCCAACATATGAGTATTTACTAAATGTAAGACATTGTTCTATACCCTATACATATGGTATTTCATTTAATTTTTATTACTGTTTTGTGAGGTAGGCATTATTTTTATCCTCAGTTTATAGGTGAGGAAACAGAGGTTTATAAAGGTGAAATGACTTCAGTAAGTCAAATAATGAGTAAAATTGCAAAGTCCATATTTTTATCACTTTGGCCTGACTCAAGCCAGTGCCCTCAGTCAACTGTAATCATTTCAGCCTAGTATGTTGAACCCCTCCTGATAGACTTTTACTTTGGAGTCTTAATAAATGAGAGGCCAGATGTGCATGTCCAAAGTACAGATCACAATTTGATGTGCTAAGCACACAAGGCCTTTTGATTATTTACGAAGAATGGTGTCAGGGTGTCCACTGAAGCAACACAGCTATGTTGTGTCTAGTAACCAGTAGGTGTTAATTACTACCTCTATTTAGTTGGTAGAATTGTGAAGACAAATACCATGGGTGGAGTTAAAAAATAATCCTGTAGTGTTTCTTACTTAGTTTTATTAGAAAACAGTTAAGACCACATTTCACTTCCTTAGTCTTGTGTTCCCTTCTTATTTGGTGTCTCTTAAGTTTCATTGAAGTTCTGGGAAATACTAGAAAAAAGGAGCTAATTGTTGGGGCCAAGAGTCTAGTTAAAGCATGTAGATGTGGCAGTGCAAAAACGTGAAAGAAGGATATGTCCTGAATGTTCTGAGATTGGATATAAAGTTTAATAGTGGGAAAGATTGGCTGCAATTATAATTGTTTGAGAAGGATGGATTTGTTTATAAGAGAACAGGAGTTAGATTTCTATGGAGAAGTTAGAAAGTATTTCTCAGTTAGGGTATTATGGACTGAATGTTTGTGTCCCTTTAAAATTCCTGTTGAAGCCCAAACCCCCAGTTTAACTATATTGGAGATGGGGTCTATACAGAAGTAATTAAAGTTAAATGAGGTCATAAAAGTGGGGAGACATGATCCAGTAGGATTGAACTCCTTATAAGAAGAGAATTCAGAGAGCTCACTCTCTGTCTATAAACATACAAAAAAGAGGTCATGTGAGCACACAGCAAGATGATAGCAACTAGAGATCTCAGAATGAAACCTACCTTGCTAGCATCTTGATTTTGGACTTCCGGCCTCCAGAACTGTGAGGAATACATTTCTGTTAAGCCATCCAGTGGTATTTTGCTGTAGCAGCCTGAGCACACTCTAAGACATAGGGCTAAAGCTGATTTGAGATGGGAAGGAAGACAAGTAGGAATGCAAGACAAAAGGAGGAAACACTAGAAGAGGTTATCTCTAGATCCATTTTCTAAAGGTAATTACAATGGAATTATAGAATTATAGAATCATATATGAAGATTTTTTTTAGGGTCAGAAGACAAGTGTAGTAGGTAGTCAGGGTTCTCCAGAGAAATAGAACCAATAAGATATGTATATATACGCATGTGTATATGTACACACACACACACACACACACACACACACACACACACACACACACACACACACACACACAGAGGATGAGACAGAAATTTAAGAATTGGCTCACGTGATTTTGCAGGCTGGCAACTCCAAAACCCACAGAGTAGGTAGACCAGCAGGCTGGAGATCTAGGGAGGAGTTGATGTTGCAGCTAGAGTCCACAGGCAGTCTACTGGCAGAATTTACTCTTTCTCAGGGGAGGTGAGTCATTTTCTTAAGGCCTTCAGCTGACTGGATGAGGCCCAACCGCATTATGGAGGGTAATTAGCTTTACTCAGAGTCTACTGATTTACATGTTAATCTCATCTAAAATACATCTTCACTATAACATCCAAGCATGTTTCACCAAATATATGGGTACTGGGGCCCTGCCAAATTGACACATAAAATTAACCATTGCAACTGGCATACCTCTTCAACTTAAACTGATGTCAAAAGAAAGTAAATTTACTTTGAGAGTTTTGACTCATTAACTAAATAAATTTAATCTTTTCAGGTAAATACCTGGTTAGAAATATACCATTTATACACTTAGCCCAGTTATTTTGGTAATTATAGCCTTAGCATCTGAGAAAAGTCGAAAATAATTAACATTAATTTGCTCAAAAGAAAATGGTTACAAATTCCAAAGAACGAATTGAAAATGGTGAAGCCATTTCTGGTTACTGTAGTCAGAAGTGACATCTTCTGTTTTAGCACATCTGAGGCAGAATGATTGCTGAAAAACTAGGCACTGTTTTCAGCTTTGCATCTTTAAATTCAGGATACCGCCTTGGAAATAACCTCTTTAATTTCTACCCTCACTTCAGTTGGCTTATCTGTAAAGTAAAAATTTAGGTAAGACCTCTTCTAGTACTAACATTCTGTAATTTCTTGGTGTTTGTTTACTCCTTAAAGCATTTATCACATTCTCCTTTGAGTATAGTTATTTGTGCTCTTTACTTTCTCCCTTTATTAGATATTTCTCTAAGAGTCAGGATAATAAATTATTCATCTTCATTTTACTCTTACAGCAAGCATCCAAGTATTTGTTTAGAATATAATCTATTGGGCTTCCCTGGTGGCGCAGTGGTTGAGAGTCCGCCTGCCAATGCAGGGGACACGGGTTCGTGCCCCGGTCCGGGAAGATCCCACATGCCGCAGAGCGGCTGGGCCCGTGAGCCATGGCCGCTGAGCCTGCGCCTCCAGAGCCTGTGCTCCGCAACGGGAGAGGCCACAACAGTGAGAGGCCAGCGTACCGCAAAAAAAAAAAAAAAAAAGAATATAATCTATTATTGTAGTTCACTATTTATAATCGGGTGTTATTCTTCAAGGCCTTATTGAATACATAAAAATTTGGTATAGCATTTCTTTGTCTTGGCCTTCAATGTCAATATTGGACTTAATACTAAACTTTGCCATGTACTAGTGTCACTTGGGGAAAATTATTGTCTTATTCTCAGTTCACTGAGGAGTAAGATTGGGGATACTGGTTGCTTTGCCAAGTTACTATGATATTTAAATGAAGTAATATGAAAAAACATCAAGCACAGTGCTTGTTACATAGTAGACACGTTAAAATGTTTTCCTTTTTTTTCCCTTTAGGATTGGGACTTTTACATCTACCTACCAGGGTGCCTAGTATGAGATATTTAGTAAATGTTTGTTAAATTGAAGATGTTAATGACTTAATTAATTTATTATGAGAAATTCCAAAAGAAACCCTTAGGAATAACAAAAAGTTCAGTGGGTTCATTTTAAATAATATTTACTATTCTTATTAAGGACAGGCTTTAAGATGGAAAATAACTTTGAATCTGTTGATTAAATTTGGTATTTTTCATGAAATAAAATCATTTTAATGTTCAACATTTGTATTTTTGTTGTAGTGATGTAGCTTGGTTCAATGAATCTTGGTTAAGCCGAATTAAAGAGGATATCGGTGACAACTGGCGAATAAAGGTATGTAGAATGAATGCTAGAAGTACTTGATCCAAACAGTGGTCTGAAATTAGCACTAAGCTCAACTAAATCTTATTTTTTAAATTAACTGAAGGGTACATTTTATTGTGTATAGTTTGAGTTTTGACGCTTGTGTATGTTCTTACACCATCATAGTTAGATATAGAACGTTTCCATTAAGCAAAAACAGGCACATATGCCCCTTCCCAGTTAATCCTCACTCTTGACTTGGCCCTGGGTGGCCACAGGTCTGCTTTCAGTCAGTATAGGTTTAATTTCTGGAGTTTCCTATAAATGGAATCAGATATTATGAACTCTTTGGTATTCTTTTACTCATGTATTTTTTTTGAGCCTCATCCATGTTGCCTGTATTAGTAGTTATTTCTTTTTTTTTGCTGAGTAGTATTTCATTACACTGATTTACCACAATTTGCTTAGCCATTCACCTGTCGATGGATGTTGAATTGTTTCTGTTCTTTCTTCTCTAATATTGGTAATTTATGTCTTTTATATTTCTTCCTTGATAAATCTGGCTTGATGTTTTTCAATTAAAAAAAATTTTTTTTGAAAAGAACTAGCTTTTGTTTTCTGTTTTATTGATTTCCTTTCTCTTCTTTGTTATTTCCTTTCTTCTTGACATCTGCTCTTTTTCTTGCTTCTTAAGGTGAAAGCTTAAGTTATCAGCTTTAAGCACTTTTCCCTAGTAGTAAGCATTGCCTTAGCCACATCTCACACATCTTAACATACTGTGTTCTTATTTTCATTTAGATCAAAATATTTGGTAATTTCCCTTGTGATTTTTCTTTTGACCCCTGGGTAGATTAGAAGTAGGTATTTCAAATTCTAAATATTTGAGGATTTTCTACATATCTTTCTTTTATTTATTAATTTCTAATTTAATTCCATTTTGTTTTGAGAACATACTCTGAATTCTTTTACATTTACTAAGACTTATTTTATGACCTAATATATGGTCTGTCTTGGTGAATATTCCATGTGCACTTGAAAACAACATGTATTTTGCAGTCCTACAAATACGGATTATTACAGCTTTGTTGATAGTACTGTTTACTTTTATATCTTTATTGATTTTCTGCCTGATTATTCTATCAGTTAAGGGGGGAGGAGTCCTCAGATCTCTAATGATGATTGTGGATTTGTCAATTTCTCCTTTCAATTCTAATTTTTTAATCATGTAATTTGAATCTGTGTTATTTGGTTTATATACATTAATTTTTTATGTCTTCTTGTTGAATGAATCTACTTATCATTATAAAATGACTTATTTTTATCCCTGGTAATATTTCTTTTTTGGAAGTCTACTTTGTCTGATACTGATGTACCACTCCTGTTTTTTAAAGATTATTTTTGCCTATTATATCTTTTTCTCTTCTTTAGTCTCTCTGTGTATTTATATTGAAAGTGATGTAGTCACCTAATAGTTAGGTCTTGCTTTTTTATCCATTGACAATCTCTTTATTTCGTTCTTTTTTTTAAAAAAAAATTATTTATTTTCTTATATTCCTCTTATTTAAATCCTTGAACTTTTTTTTTTTTTTTAATTTTTGGCTGCGCTGGGTCTTCATTGCTGCGCGTGGGCTTTCTCTAGTTGCAGCGGGCGGGGGCTACTCTTCGTTGCGGTGCGCGGACTTCTCATTGCGGTGGCTTCTCGTTGCGGAGCACAGGCTCTAGGCACGCGGGCTTCGGTAGTTGTGGCACGCGGGCTCAGTAGTTGTGGCTTGCGGGCTCTAGAGCGCAGGCTCAGTAGTTGTGGCGCACGGGCTTAGTTGCTCCACGGCATGTAGGATCTTCCCGGACCAGGGCTTGAACCTGTGTCCCTTGCATTGGTGGGCAGATTCTTAACCACTGTGCCACCAGGGAAGCCCCCCTTGAACATTTTTAAACTAACGGTTTTAACTTTTTTATCTTCTAATTCTTTCATCTCTCATTTTAGGCTTGTTTCTATTGACTGAGTTTTCTCCTAATTATAGTTCACATACTCCTGCTTCTTCACATGTGTAGTAATTTTTTATTGGACGCTAGACAGTGTGAATTTTATTATTGAGTGCTGGGTTTTTTGTATTCCTTTAAAGAGTGTTGGACTTTGTTCTTACAGGCAGTTAAGATACTTGTGAATCAGTTTGGTCTTTTCAGGGTTTGGGGGGATGGAAGGCAGATCTAGAGTTATTTTCTCCTCTAGGGCTAGGTTAGACTCACTACTAAGCTGTTACCTTTTGGGGGGTTTTTAGTGAATGCTTGTCTGTATTAGCATAGTCATGATCTCTTCACTCTGACTGGTGGGAATTTCAGCAGTTTCTGGCCCTGTGCAATCTTCAAGGAATTGTTCAGCTTATAGTTTGTTGTTTCCTAGATTGTTGTTTCCTCGGAAATCATTTTTGTTTAATCTCATTGAGTTTCACCCATGCACATGCAAATTAGTATTCAGCCAAAGAGTCAAAGGGACTACTATGGAGATTTCTTTCCAAAGCTCTCACCTCTTCATTTATCTGCCCTGCAAATCCCAGCTACCTCGACCTTCCTGAACTTTTGATGTCTATCTTCTCAACTCCACGAGAACATCAGGCTTTGTTTTGTTTCCACCTCCCTGTGCCATGGTATGAAAATTGCCTCTAGAGAGAAATCTTAGACTAGTGTAGGGCTCATTGTTTTTGTTTTCCTTCTCTTAGAAATTAGAGTTCTATATTGTCTTTTGGCTAAAGCTTGAAAACAATATTCCTTGTATTTTGTCCTGTTTTCTAGTTGTTTGTGGTGGAGAGTAAGTCTAGATCCAGTTACTCACTCATGACTGAAGGTGGACATGCTCATAGCTAAATCTTTTAAGTTGGTACTTGAGTTTGTTGTGGCTCACTTTAAATACAATCACTCTAGTTCAACTATCTAAGGAAGAAGACATTTTTTCTATAATCAAACTCTGAATAAAGCTTTGATGTTTAAAAATCATGTATTTGTATTTATAGAACTCTAATATATGTTTTGGTTGTCATTTTTATCAGGAAGTTTTTATTGTATTTCACCTTGGCATATATTTTATTTCATTGTTAATATTAAATAATTTATTTTTTTTCCTCCATTAGGCTAGTAATTTAAAGAAGGTACTTCAAGGAATTATGGGTTATTACAATGAGGTATGAAAATCATTTGACTTTGTTTAAATATAAAATACTCTGTGATAATTATATTGACACTGAAAAATGACTTGGCTTTTTGTTTATAACATTTTACTGGTATATAATTCATAATTGAAATATATTATGATTTTTCCATTTTTAGAACACTCAAATTTTGTTAGCGTAAAGGGGCTAAAAAGTAATATATTGATTTGTAAAATAATGTTTCTATATTGATACTCTTCAAGTTGATTTTTTCTCAAATAAAACCACTTTCATCTTTATATAATTTGATTTTATGCAGTGCTATAAAGTAGACCTTATAACTAAATTAAAGTACTTTTCTATTTAAAGCGTTGTTTTTATATTTCTTTCCAATGTAAATAACAGCAAAGACATACTATGAAATTATGCTTGTGCAAGTGAATTGGGAAAAAATGCAAAATAAAAGTAGTATTAAAGTCACATTAGATAATGCATTATTCAAGTGATTTGTTTTTCTTATTCAGCATCTTAAGAAGTTCTCTAGCAGGATTATTTGATATTAGAAAGTTTATTGCTTAATGTGTAAAAGTTTTTGGTTTGGTTTTGCCATTAAAGAATTTTGTTTTTACTTTTTAAAGTTTTCATACAATTGAACTTGCAGTTTCTTCCAAATAATTGTAGAACTAAAATTTTTCAATTCATTAATGCCTAAAACTCATTTTGAAGTTTTTTGGTGTTTTTTTAATGGCAAGAACACTTTTTAGTTTCTTGCAAAAAACAATCTTGGGAATTCCCTGGCAGTCCAGTGGTTAGGACGTGGCACTTTCTCTCCCAGGGAGGGCCTGAGTTCAATCTCTGGTCGGGGAATTAAGATCCTGCAAGCTGCATGGCACAGCCAAAGAAAAAAGAAAAAAGCAATCTTAAAAAAAAAAGATAGAGCCAGGAAAGATTAATCCATTAGATTTTTTGTTCATTTGGTTTATTTTATGGTTCTCTATTCATTGAACATGTATCAAAATATTATGAACTTTCTTTGACTTAAGTCTGTTTATTTTTTTATGGAAAGGCATAAGTTTTATCATAATAGATCAGGCCAGGGGCTTCTTAAACAATTCCTCTCTCTGACAGTGGGGTAAAGGATATTTGTTATAAAACCATTTTAATTGCTTTTGGTTGGTTCTCAAAATTTTGGGAGGTGGCTTGAACTTTACTAACTGGTTTTAGTCAGTAATTGTGGGTTTATCATTTGTTAATTTATCTGAGTCTTTTCGTGAACTTATTTATAATTTATTTTCCTTGCAATAATTCAGTGTAGTCAATTCTCTGTAGCCTACATAAATGAGTGATCTAATTTATTTTCAACACTGCAGTTTTTGGGACAACAGATTTCTGAAGAACTTATCCCTGATTTAAACCAAATAACTGAATGTTCCGATTCTGTGGAGCTTGGGAGGTTGCTCCAGCTTATTTTAGGTTGTGCTGTCAACTGTGAAAAGAAGCAAGGTAAGTGAATTTCAGTCATTTGAGGATATCTACTTTCCAGAGACAACCTACATTGCTATAGGAAATTGCATAAAAATGTACTATTGTAGACTGGTGGAAAGCACACTGAAATGTAAGCCAGAAGATCTGAATTCGAGCACAGCTCTGCAATTAAAAAGCTATAAATCTTCAGTATCCTAACTGTACCTAGATTCTGAGATTCGTATTCAGTGGCTAAATAAAATGTACTTTAATTAGGTTAATTTAATCAATGCTTAGGACTTAGTGAATATTCAATAAAAATTGTACTTATTTATTTGATACATTATCTCTTTAACATGTGAGAGACAGAACCTTAGGTTGATTCAGATTTTCATAAATGATTATGCAACTACTTCCAGGCTTCTTCAGATGATATTCTGCTCTTTTTAGAAGAATGCTTCCAAAGTATCCTCCAGATAAAGATAAGCAGTCTGATGATATAAATGGAATTGGTGTGCTATGTTGGTATATATGAACACAGTGATCCATATCCTGCTGAGTACAAAAAGAACATTTTTGGTTGAATGTAATGAATAAAATGTGAACTGAACAGACCAAGGTCTACTTCCTTGAGGGGCTTGCATCAGTCTGGGTGATGACATTTTTTTTTTTTTTTTTTTTGCGGTACGCGGGCCTCTCACTGCTGTGGCCTCTCCTGTTGTGGAGCACAGGCTCCAGACGCGCAGGCTCAGCGGCCATGGCTCACGGGCCCAGCCGCTTCGCGGCATGTGGGATCTTCCTGGACCGGGACATGAACCCGTGTCCCCTGCATTGGCAGGCGGACTCTCAACCACTGTGCCACCAGGGAAGCCCTGGGTGATGACATTTTTGATGCTGATGTTTTTTGCATGCTCATCCAAAATTGGCCTTAGGACATCACCTTCATAAAAGAATGTTGGGTGCTGAAGTTTGTAAAACATTTTAAGTCAGAACCTTAGGAAACACATTCAGTGTTATCTAACTAATGAAGAGAACATATGAGACAAGATAAATTCAGTAAGAATCAATTCAGGAAGGAGAAAAATGAAACACATGAAATCAGCTATAGTTTATCATAAAAAAGGGTTTTGGTATCAGAAAACTTTCATATTAGTCCATCTCTATTATTAACTGGCTGTTTTTTTTCTAGGGCAAGTCAGTACTTCTCCATAGGCTTTTATTTCTCATAGATAATGTCAAAGGTCTCTATGTTTCTGTTGTTTTGTTTTGTTTTTTTTAATGAAAGTAAGAAACGTTTTCTTATGGAAAGTTAAAACTTCTATATATTTTTAACTACAAATTGACAAATAGTAATTCTTTTATGAATTACCAATTTTCTATTACCGTGATCCTTTTTATTTTTCTATTTAATGCTTTGTTTCTATTTCAGTTACTGGTTATTTATAACATCTTTTTGCTTAACTTTAGCATGTTTGTTGATTTTAATAGTCTTTTTCAGAGAACCAACTTTGGGCTTTGATTCATTTTGTTTGTACTATTTAATATCTATTCTGTTATCTCATTGCTTCTATTGTGAATTAATCAGTTCTTTCTATTCTAAGCTATAATTGATGTTTTAAGCTATAATTTTCTCTTAAGTTTTGTTGCCTCCTATAAATATTGATATAATATGTAGTATTTTCATAATTTAGTTCTAAGCATTACCTAGCAATTTTGACCTCAGATTTTTAAAAGGAGGCTCAATTCCTGGGTATATAAATAAAAGTTTAGCAAGTAATAAATATAAAGAAATAGTTTAATTTTCATTATTTTGAAAGTCAGGATTATCTGATTGGGTCTATTTTTGGAGGTATGTGTCTGGGGTCTCAATTTTTAGGAGTGAGCAGATAAATGGAAAAAAAACTTGTAGTAATTTAATTAAAATGTAAAACCAAAACACATCCATAATATAAACCACCTTCCACATATTTGTACTTTTCATTGAGAATTGATTTTCAAAATGATTCAAAGGTATTGCAGCAGTCTTAATCTTGAAAGAATTAACTAATTTGGTTAACAGTACCCTGTTTATCTTGGTGTGGAAAGAGAAAAATTTTATGAAGGTTTCAGTAGACTTGAAACACTCCATTATCCAATAAATCCAGTTAAAAGAAATCATTCCATTGCTTGTGCCTCATCTAGTTAATTCTTCCCCCTCCAACACACACACACACCATAGAGTTTAGTGGTCGGGTGCATACCAGAATCTATCAGAATTTTTTTCCAGTACTTGGCTTCACAAATAAAAGAGAGATTTAGAGAACTTTTAGAAGTCTTCCAGAGTATCATTAAAACAATAAAAGCATTAGAAAATAATAAATCCTTATAACTTTTGGAAAATTGTTTTAGGTGGAGAACATACAGTTGCTGTCGATCTAAACCTGCAAATACAGGAAAAACTCTCATGATTCATCACTTCTAATTGTGACAGAATCAACTTATTGCACTCCCACGTGTGTGTGTGTGTGTGTGTGTGTGTGTGTGTGTGTGTGTGTGTGTTAAGGTATAAGGATCTCCTTAAGGTGAAACTTGGTGAATGTCGAGCAGGTGTTTGCAGGAAGCTGTATAAGTCTCTTCATTGAAAACCTTCCTGAAATGAACTAAGTAGGTGATAAATGAAACTTTCTGAGCTTAGATCTTAAGAGTTCACTGAATACAGGCATACCTTGTTTTATTGAGCTCTGCTTTATTGTGTTTTTCACAAATTGAAGGTTTGTGGTAACCCTATGTCCAACAAATCTATTAGCACCACTTTTCCAACAGCATTTGCTCACTTCATGTCTCTGTGTCACATTTTTGTAATTCTCACAGTATTTCAAACTTTTTCATTATTATTATATTTGTTATGGTGATCTGTGATCAGTGCTTTTTGGTGTTACTATTGTAATTGTTTTTTTTTAATTAATTAATTTATTTATTTATTTTTGGCTGTGTTGGGTCTTCGTTTCTGTGTGAGGGCTTTCTCTAGTTGTGGCGAACAGGGGCCACTCTTCGTTGTGATGCGCGGGCCTCTCACTGTTGTGGCCTCTCTTGTTGCGGAGCACAGGCTCCAGACGCACAGGCTCAGTAGTTGTGGCTCACGGGCCCATTTGCTCCGCGGCATGTGGGATCTCCCTGGACCAGGGCTCGTACCCGTGTCCCCTGCATTGGCAGGCAGATTCTCAACAACTGCGCCACCAAGGAAGTCCTATTGTAATTGTTTTGAGGCACCATGAACTGCACCCATAGTAACGTGGTAAACTTAATCAGTAAATGTTATAAATGTTGTATGTGTTCTGACCGCTCCACCAACCAGCCATTTCCCCATCTCTCTCCCTTCCTCCGGCCTCCCTACTCCCTGATACACAGCAATATTGAAATTAGGCCAGTTAATAACCCTGCAGTGGCCTCTTCGTGTTCAAGTGAAAGGAAGGGTCCCACATCTCTTACTTTAAATCAAGCTAGAAATGATTAAGCTTAGTGAGGAAGGTATGCTGAAAGACAAGAGGGGCCAAGATCTAGGCCTCTTCCACTAAACAACCAAATTGTGAGTATGAAGAAAAAGTTCTTGAAGGAGATTAAAAGTGCTGCTTCAGTGAACACACCGATGATATGAAAGCGAAAGTCTTATTGTTTATAGGCAGAACATTTTAGTGGTCTGGATGGAAGATCAAACCAGCCACAACGTTCCCTTCAGCCAAAGCCTAATCTAGAGCAAGGCTCTAACTTCAATCTTGTGAAGCCTGAGAGAGATGAGAACACTGCAGAAGAAAAGTTTGAAGCTAGCAGAGGTTGGTTCATGAGGTTTAAGGAAAGCCATCTCCAGAACATAAAAGTACAAGGTGAAACAGCAGGTACTGATGTAGAAGCTACAGCAAGTTATCTAGAAGATGTAGCTAAGATAATTAATGAAGGCCACTATATTAAACATATTTTCAGTATAGACAAAACAGCCTTTTATTGGAAGAAGATGCCATCTAGGACTTTCATAAGTAGCTAGGAAAAGTCAATGCCTGGCTTTGAAGGACATGCTGACTCTCTTGCTAATGTAGATGGTGACAGAGTTGAAGCCCGTGCTCATTTATCATTCTGGAAATCCTAGGACCTTAAGAACTATGCTAAATCTAATCTGCCTGTGTTATAAATGGAACAACAAAGGCTGGGTGACAGCACATCTGTTTACAACATGGTTTACTGACTATTTTAAGCCCACTGTTGAGACCTACTTCTCACAAAAAAAAGCATTCCTTTCAAACATTACTGCTCATTGACAAAGCACCTGGTCACTCAAGAGCTTTGATGGAGATGTTCAACAAAATTAATGTTGTTTTCATACCTGCTAACAAAACACCTATTCTGCAACCCATGGATCAAGAAGTAATTTTGACTTTTAAGTCTTGCTATTTAAGAAATACATTTTGTAAGGCTATAACTGCCATAAATAGTGATTCCTCTGATGGATCTGGTTTTCAAAGTACATTGAAAACTTTATGGAAAAGATTTACTATTGTAGATACCATTAAGAACATAGGTGATAAGGGGGTTCCCTTTTCTCCACACCCTCTCCAGCATTTATTGCTTGTAGACTTTTTGATGATGGCCATTCTGGCTAGTGGGAGGTGATACTCATTGTGGTTTTGATTTGCATTTCTCTAATGATTAGTGATGTTGAGCATCTTTTCCTGTGCTTTCTAGCCATCTGTATGTCTTTTTTTGGAGAAATGTCTATTTAGATTTTCTGCCCATTTTTTGATTGGCTTGTTTGGGGTTTTTTTGATATTGAGATGCATGAGCTGTATGTATATTTTGGAGATTAATCCCTTGTCGGTTGCATTGTTTGCAAATACTTTCTCCCATTCTGTGGGTTGTCTTTTCATTTTGTTTATGGTTTCCTTTGATGTGTAAAAGCTTTTAAGTTTAATTAGGTCCCATTTGTTTATTTTTGGTTTTATTTTCATTACTCTAGGAGGTGAATCCAAAAAGATCTTGCTGTGATTTATGTCAAAGATTGTCCTGCCTGTGTTTTCCTCTAAGAGTTTTTATAGTATCCAGTCTTACATTTAGGTCTTTAATCCATTTTGAGTTTTTTTTGTGTGTATGATGTTAGGGAATGTTCTAATTTCATTCTTTGACATGTGGCTGTCCAGTTTTCCCAGCACCACTTATTGAAGAGACTGTCTTTTCTTCATTGTATATTCTTGTCTCCTTTGTCATAGACTAATATACCATAGGTGTGTGGGTTTATCTCTGGGCTTTCTATCCTGTTCCATTGTTCTATATTTCTGTTTTTGTGCCAATACCAAACTATTTTGATTACTGTAGCTTTGTAGTATAGTCTGAAGTCAGGGACCCTGATTCCTCCAGCCGTGTTCTTCTTTCTCAAGATTGCTTTGGCTATTCAGGGTCTTTGTGTTTCCATACAAATTTTAAGATTTTTTGTTATAGATTTGCAAAAAATGCCATTAGTATTTTGATAGGGATAGCATTGAATCTGTAGATTACCTTGGGTAGTATAGTCATTTTGACAATATCGATTCTTCTAATCTGAGAACATGGTATATCTTTCCATCTGTTTGTGTCATCCTACACTGTTGGTGGGAACGTAAATTGGTACAGCCACTATGAAGAACAGTATGGAGGTTCCTTTAAGACTAAAAATTGATTTGATCCAGCAATCCCACTCCTGGGCATATATCCAGAGAAAACCATAATTTGAAAAGGTACATGCACCCCAGTGTTCACTGCAGCACTATTTACAATAGCCAAGACATGGAAGCAACCTAAATGTCCATCGACAAATGAATGGATAAAGAAGATGTGGTACATATATACAATGGGATATATTACTCAGCCATAAAAAAGAATGAAAGAATGCCATTTACAGCAACATGGATAGACCTAGAGATTATCATACTGAGTGAAGTAAATCAGAGAAAGACAAATACCATATGATATCACTTATATGTGGAATCTAAAAAATGATACAAATGAACTTATTTACAGAACAGAAACAGACTCACAGACTTAGGAAACAAACCTATGTTTACCAAAGGGGAAGGGTAGTGGGGAGGGATAAATTAGGAGGTTGGGATTAACATATGCACACTACCATATATGAAATGGATAATCAACAGAGACCTACTCTATAGCACAGGGAACTCTACTCAGTTCTCTGTAATAACCTATATCAGAAAAGAATATGAAAAATAATGGATATATATGTGTATGTATAACTGAATCACTTTGCTGTACACCTGAAATGAACACAACATTGTAACTCAACTATACTCCAGTGTAAAATAAAAACTTTTTAAAAATAAAGGAATGTTTCCCTTGAGGGGAAAAAAAGAACATAAGTGATTGATGGGAAGAGGTCAAAATATCAACATTAACAGGAGTTTGGAAAAAACTGATTCCAACTCTCATACATGACTTTAAGTGGTTCAAGACTTAAGTGGAGGAAGTAACTGGATATGTGGTAGAAATAGCAAGAGAATTAGAAGTGGAGCTTAAAGGTATGACTGAATTATTGCCATCTCATGACAAAATGTTAACAGACGAGTCGCTTCTTATGGATGAGCAAAGAAAGTGGTTTCTTGCGATGGAATCTACTCCTGGTGAACATGCTATGAAGACTGTTGAAATGACAATAAAGAATTTAGAAATTACATAAACTTAGTTGATGAAGCAGCAGCAGAATTGGAGAGGATGGACTCCAATTCTGAAAGAAGTTCTACTGTGGGTAAATGCTATCAAACAGCACTGCATGCTACAGAGAAATTGTTTGTGAAAGGAAAGGTCAATTGACATGGCAGACTTCACTGTTGTCTTATTTTAAGAAATTGCCACAGACACCCCAGCTTTCACCACCACCCTATTCAGTCAGCAGCCATCAACATCAAGATAAGATCCTCCACCAGTAAAAAGGATTACCACATGCTAAAGTCTCAGATGATGGTTAGCATTTTGTTAGCAATAAAGTACTTTTTAATTAAGGTTTGTACGTTGTTTTTTTAGACATAATGCTATTGTCACTTAATACACTACAGTATTGTGTAAATATAACTTTTATATGTACTGGGAAACTAAAAAATTCGTGTGACTCACTTTATTGCGATAATTGCTTTATTGGGGTGTTTTGGAACTGAACTGGTACTATCTCTGTGGTATACCTGTACATGTGAATTCATCTCATAATACTGAATATTTAACAAGAGGAAAGAAATTGTCATAATTGTTTTAACATTAATTGCAATTTCTTCTCTTTTTCTTCCTTGTCAGAAAATTAGAGATTTTCTTTAAAACATTTATAGATATTTTTATGAATATTTTCAGTTCTGCTTATTTGTTTACAATGGACATATTTTTTGTGGTAAAATAATATACTTGCATAAAGAATTATGTGTAGTGAATGAATTTTTATGTTGTTAATTGAACGACTAAATTTCTATGGGTGAAGAGTAGGGTTTTTTCAGATCTGATTTTTTTTTTTTAATCATAGAACATATTCAAAATATAATGACACTGGAAGAGTCTGTTCAACATGTGGTCATGACTGCCATTCAAGAGGTAAGCTATATCATGATCACATATGTATGAAAATCCTAAACCAAATTATATAAAACTGTTCACATAGATTTTATGGATGTATATTTCACCCCTGTATAAACGAGCCCTTTGTAGTAGGTTTACTTATCTTTGGCTGTTGTGTCTTCCCCAAAAATTTCTTATAAGGACTTGAAGCCCAATTGTAGTACCTCTGCATTTTAAAAGTTAAATTAACATTGTCAGTTTCCTTTAAATAACTTCAACTAAGCAAGATAAACAGCCTCTTGCCAGTTAGGAGTTTTTATAACTTCTCTTTGTTTCTGCCAGGTAGAGTAATCTTTTCTGAAATTTTAAAGTGTGTGTGTGTATGTATCTCATATGCATTTTCAGAATGTTAGAACTGTGAGCAAATAGAGTGAAAATTAGGTTTCGGAGCCAGGTAACCTGAATTCAAGCCAGTCTAGTTATCTAAGTTGTACCATAGAGATTCAGAATTCATTCGGTGCATGTTCATTCTTAAAATCAGAACAAAAGGCTGAGATGAAGTCAAGTGAAGAGGAGGCCTGAGGGAAAGTTGAGTGAAGGGTTAGTGAGGAAAACATAGTTTGGAAGAGGCATGACTTAGAGGGAGACAGCATCTAGGACTTCAGAAGTGTGTATACTCTGAGTTTGCATTGCTGGTTTGAATTCAAAACATCACTATGCATAAATCTGCCTTTCATATGCAGAAAAGTTATTTTACAGGATCCTTTTTTTTTCATATAATTGTAACTCCTACTTTTAAAATGACTTCTCAAATTAGGAATTTTGCCACATCACTCATTTAAAGCTCTATTTTTGTTTGTGGTTTTTTTGCGGTATGCGGGCCTCTCACTGTTGTGGCCTCTCCCATTGCGGAGCACAGGCTCCGAACGCGCAGGCTCAGAGGCCATGGCTCATGTGGGATCCTCCCTGACTGGGGCACGAACCCGTGTCCCCCGCATCGGCAGGCGGACTCTCAACCACTGCGCCACCAGGGAAGCCCTAAAGCTCTATTTTTAAAGTGCCAATTCATGTTACGGAAAAATAATTTTTTTTATTATGTGATGTGTTCAGTTTTATTTAGTAATTCATCGTTTAGAACTTGGATTATAATTTTTCAGTACATTAGTATTTTAAATATATCTAAATATTTCAAGCACGTTTTACTTGTGTCCTCACTAATGTAATGCTTGAACATTGTGTTATTTAGCTTAAACCTCTATTCATTTTTTATTTGAATAATATAAGGATCATCAAATTAAGGCAAGGAAAAATTAAACATAAAGCATTTTACTTTCCTTTCAAGTAAACATATTTTTTACTGTGTAAATCTTACTTTATTGTACTTAATTTTACTATTTTAATTCTAGTTGATGAGTAAAGAAATAGTGAGCTCTCCTACAAATGATGCTGTTGGAGAATTAGAGCAACAGGTGAGTATTTTAGGATGTGAGGAAAATGTTGCACAGTGATAGAGTTCCTTTGTCAATTACTATCTTAAAGGCTTACATAGGAGACCACATACAAGATTATTTTCTTCCATGAAATTTAGTATATTCTCCTATAAGATCTTAATTGACTATTATGCATTCCTTCATGAATGCAAGTAGTGTTCATCTCCAGAGTTTTTAATGATCATGTTTGAAGAGATGAGTGGCATTAAACTTTCCTGACATTTGTTAATACATATGTGGCCCATTCTGTATAGTTACATAATTAAATAGTACTTAAAAATTCTGCTGAATTCTAATTTACCTAATAAGGAAATATGATTTTTGTCACAGTTGCTTTCCTCTAATATTGAAGAATTAACTCAAAGGTCCTGTACTCAGGCCTTCTTTCCCTGGTTGTTTTACACAGTTGTTTTACATGGAGGAAAAGGCACACTCCTCTTCTGTATAACCAATCTGGGTTATAAGGGGAAGGGTAAGAGGAGAGGTAAATGCATCAAATACTTTTCCTGTTATATGTTTGGACATCTGACTTTCATGAGTGTCACCAGCCATCTCAAGAAGTATTTCAAATTAAAAAAATTTTTTTCTATAAAAATTTTATTTAAATATAAACATGCTGTGCTCTAAATTTTTTTCTGTGATAAAATAAACAGTTCATCCTCTAATACTCTGTTTTAAATATTTCACAAAGATTTACATAAAATTTTATTTCTGTGGGACCTTAGCCTTAAATGTTAATGAGACTCTGTTGATATTATTTACAGAAAAACAACATATTACTACTTATTTGTTAATAGGTAAATTTTAAAAGCATTTCCAACATCAGTGTATATATGTGTTTTGATAAAAGTATATTTTTCAATTTGTTTCAAAATGTGATTTACTAAGAGTTAGGACATTTTCTATTTCAGCTTAAAAGGGCCCTGGAAGAACTTCAGGAAGCACTAGCAGAAAAAGAAGAACTGAGGCAAAGATGCCAAGAACTAGATATGCAGGTATGGATTGAAGAATAATTTCCTCTTTAAATTTACAGGAGTCTTATTTTAATTAATTAATTAGTAAAGTGTTTTGGAGGTTGGGTTTCATTTCATGGAGGGACCATTGAAAGAGTCTGTTATAGGCTTGACTCTTCAAACATGAACTTTATAATTCTTCTTTTAGAGTTGAAAATTGCTTGCTTAACTACTTCATTGAGAGGGTCATTCTAATTGCAGAATTTCAACTGCTTAGATGATGCCTTGGTTTGTTGTTTTGTAAAAAGGGGAAACTAAAGTATCTACTTTATAGGGTATGAATATTAAGTGGGGTCCTTTATGGAAATATTTAGAAGGGCTTGACCCCCAATAAATTTGAGATCCAAGTTTGTTTTGCTAACATGTATGTGTATATGAACACATGTATGTGATTCTTGGGTTCCTATGCACATACGTGTTAGCAAAATAAACTTGACATGAGAGACAGTAGTTAACAGTTAAAGGAGTAGATTGTCAAACCAGGCTGCCTATATTCAGAACCTGGTTATGTTACTAGCTGGTTGTATATGCTCAGGCAAATTGCTTAATTTCTCTATACTTCATATTTCTCTTTTGAGAAATGATGTGTTAATAGTATATATCTCCCAGAGTGATAATTACATTTAAATGAATTAATATACATAAAGCACTTAAAGCAGGGCCTGGTGCATAGGGCTGTGTATATGTTTGCATGTATTGTTATTATTGTTATGTGAAAATTATGCAATAAGTCTCGAAAAATTATACAAAGATTTAAATGTACCATCATATTATGCTGTATGTAAATTGCATTTTTCATTCAAATAATGAGCTACATAAATAATTGACTCTGAAAAGTGTGAGGACAAGGAACAAAGGTTGTGGTAGCATTATCCTTGCTTGATGAGATAAATATCTAAAGTGATAGGGCTGTGTAATATTTCTAACATTCAAGGGTCTGCAAATAAGAAAATGAGAAGTGACTTGGTCAGGGTGACTCAGCTACGTAGGGCAGTGACAGCACTAGAATCCAGATCTTCTAATGTCATCTTTAAACATCACTCCTCTATGTTTGAACAAAGCCAGTGTTTATATTTGTACGAAGCTAGTGTCTCAAAATTATGAGAACGTCTACCTTTTCTCCTTTTTCCTTTCCTAACCACACTCACCTTGCATATATATCATCACATATATGCACAGACCTGCACAGCATCAGAGATGTTTTATTTTCAAGTAAGATTATATCCTCTCTCCAGAATACCTCATATAAAGAATAGAGGATTGAATCATTCAGGTATTACCAGTCTCATGTAGGATCTCTGTACAGTTTTCTGAGAAATTCTTATTCAAAAAAGAACACAAAATACTGTGTTAAAACATTTCAGTGTTTGTAACACATGATGGAGAGTATGTGATGATCTGATTTTAGTTGAAAAGTGTAGACATCCCAAGTTTTGGCATTTTTAATTCCAGTATCAAAATAGAGTCAACCCTCAACTATCTGCTACACATGTGAAATGAATATAATCAAAACTGCATATAATCAAAACAAAAATAATTAATTTAACAATATGAATTTCACACAGGTGTATATGATACCCCAATTTTATAAGGAAAATTATTTTTGAAAAATGTTTACTTTTAATCATACGTCACTTGAGAGTGATTCTAAAATTTGGGGGGAATTCTTTTTTAATACTCAACCAAATAAACCAAAAAAGAAAAATAAGCTGCAAAGAAATTCACCAAGGGCAGGTGAATAAACAAAAGGGCATAACCTAATGAAGTTAAATTAAAAGCTGGTAATCAAGGAAAGAAGCAGGCATATGATGTTGACAGAGGTGCTGCATGGCAGGAACCTGCTGTTCTTCCTTCATCCCCAGCCCATGCAGGGGAATCAACAAAAATCTTGAGACTTCCCACAGTAATCTACCCAATCAGAAGGAAGTTCACACTATGAGTCCTTCATTTTCTTTGGACTGGGGAAGAGTGGAAATGATGGCTAAGAAGAAACTAAGGACTCTTTCTGATAGGAACAAAGGCTGTAGGGCCACACACTGAATTGGGGAAACAGTCTGATGCCCAAAGGAATTTCTCCATGGGAATGGAATATACTTCTCACCACCCTGGTATGAAGTACTTAAACCTCAGAAGTGAGAGCCTAGCCCAGGTGTTATAAAAAGATTGCCCGTTGTCTCAGCTGCCCCGATGCTGCCCCCCCCCCCCACCCCACTATCTTCCCTGACCATTCACAAGGCTATATAGAGAGGTGGAGAGAAAACAGTCCCAACTATTACCCAGAGGGGAGAACATACTGGGCCATGGGTTACAGTGGAAAGGGTGTCCAAGAAGTCTTCAACACTATGCCAGAATAAACAGGGTATCTTAACTGCCCACAAAACATGAACTAGATGAAAAGAATCAGAGCATGACATCTCTGTGAACATTACAGACTAAAACCAAAAACAGACAAGAGCATGTAAAAGACAACAGCCAAGCTTAGAAAATAACTTTCACTTCATTTAGTATTACAATTTCATAAGAACACATCAATAGAATAGACTAGGTGGTAGGACAACAAAGTGAAGATTTGAAAGGAAATCGCAGCTAGATAGAAACAAATCAGTGAATAATGTTTAACACCAATCCTTACCCTAGTTAAGCTATCAGACTTCAAGAATACAGGAAAAACAACTCAGTCAGTCAAGCAGAAAAGGTAAGTCACCCACAAAGATAAGAAAATCAGGCTCCCCTACAACTTCCATGCTGGAATATAGAGGAGCAATATCCACAAAATGCTGAGGCAGGAAAACAGCATTAACTGAGGAGTGCAGGTGCAAACTCGCTTTCTTGGAAAAAAACTACTCATTGACACAATCCAGTTAGCAAACATGTTTTAATCAGAATAAAGAATGCAAGAACAGAGGAGATTCTGTAGTGAAAGATCTGGTGATGAAGCTCAGTCCATTTAAATAAAGATCTGTGTGAGTTCTGTGTAAATTATGGTTATAGATACTGGGACAAATGAAATTATGACTCACTAAGTCAGGAGTAAGGCCTGATTATGTGTACTTTAAAAAAAGAAAGAAAAAAAATCCACATGAGAATTTGATGTAAAGTTTTGAGAAACTTTCACAAAGTTTTGGTCCAAGATGATTATGGGGCCTTGGGGCAAGTTAGGACAGGTTTATCAACCACTCTTTACCTGCCTTTCCCAGTCATTATTCATACCACCTGGCAGCAGTAGGTAACACTGCTTCACTTACTGCAGTAACAGAGGCTGGTTATTCTTGCTTCTAGTATGTTAGAGAAAAGCATACTTTTACCCAGCATTGTATAAGATTCAATGAGGCAGTTATTTTCAAACTTAAGGTGTCTACAGAGTATGTGCGACTGGGCACAATGTGATAAAGAGGACTCCAGCTATAGCAGTTTACTTTATATTTTAATTTTTAAAATAAACAATTATAAAAATATTAAGTCTGAGTGATGTGAGAATATGAGTATTATTTTTGAGCCTTTTTTTTTTCTTTTTTAGCTTTTTGAACTTTCTGTCTCTTTTAAATAGCTCAGAGAGAGACAGAGACAGAGAGAAACAGAAAGGGACAGAGGCAGGTACAGAGTGAACCTAAACAAAATATCACCATGGCATCTTGTTAAAAGAGCTGCCTAGAACCACCACTGGACACTCTTAAGTCACCCATCTGGGATGGGTCCAAGGAATTCTCATGTTTAATACCCACCTCCTTCATATCTGTGATAAAGGTGGCTCTAGAACCACAATGTAAATTGCATGCATAGGAGCAAGGTTGGTTACCCACTAGGTATTGAAAACTAAGTTTGCCCGTGCTCCTCTCCCTTCTTCAGGGGATTCTTAGCCAGTTTGAAGACAGGGTATTGTTTCTCCTCTACCAGTCTTTTTACAACAGCCCCTACCTTCAAGCTAGAATGAGATCTTGTTTTCTTTGTGGGCCCCCAACCCCGCATAGTATACTTCCACCAAAGCACCACATTTTCTGTCCTGTAATTGTTTACATTTCTGCTGTAGCGATCTTAAACGGGCACAACCTCTCATTCTTTTTTGTATCCCAAACACTTAGGATTGTACATGACAGGTCATTAGACTGCTTGCATGACAAGAGTGGATGCATGCACTGAATTTAGGAAGAGAAACTGTTTCCTCCTAGACAGGTCACTAGACTGCTTGCATGACAAGAATGGATGCATGCACTGAATTTAGGAAGAGAAACTGTTTCCTCCTTGTCTGTCTGGGAACAGTTTCCCAGCCTTTGTTTGTGTTCCTCATTTGGAGGACAGTGTTTGTAACATGGCTACACTGTATTTAAGACTATAATTTGATTTTAATTTCCTCTTATTAGCTTGGTGTGTCAATATGTAGTCCCATTCCCATAACTGGACTGAATTGATTATACCTTTTGAAAATATAAATAGCAAACTTGTGCAATATTATATTGTAAGTTATGGGAGGTCAACCTTTTTTCAAACTAATCTTAATAAAAATCACACATAAACTTCTAGTCTTATAAAAGGTCACAGCCTTAGCTGTAAATTTTTAAAGATGTTTTTAAATGAAAAAGAAATAAAACTGAGAGAGCAAATCATGCTTAACATAAATATGTAAGTAAAATTAAAAATGTATCAAGTGCTGATGTTGATGTGATTCTGAAGTTACATGTTTGTATCCATTTTAAATAGTTTCAGTGTGCAGTTGCATTCAATTCAGGTTTTTGTTACTGATTCATTAACCAAATAATGTGCCTATCGCCTGAAGATGTGATGTGTAACTGATAATTTTCTACCAGGAACCTAAAATGGTAACTTTGTATATATGTGTGTATATTTTGGCTTACTAGGTAACAGCATCCTAAAAATTTATACCTAAAAGGGAAACAGATTAATTTTTTGAAGTTCATTGGTATTTAGAGATTTTAGACACTTAGAAACATTTTCTTTTCAGAACTAAAGCAAACATAACATTTGAAAGATATTCTTATATGTATTAACTCTGTTTTCTCTGTATTAAGAAAGTTGATTTCTTCTGACCCAAATCTCTCAGACCCAGAACTCCAGAGCTCTAAGGATCCTTAGAAATTATCTAGTCTGCTTGACCAAGCTATTTAATGGCTTGGTCAGATTTATTCTAAGCTTTTTTGCTATTGATGCTTATGTTTGTGTATTTGTTTTTTAGGTGACAGCACTTCAAGATGAAAAGAATTCACTAGTTTCTGAGAATGAGATGATGAATGAGAAACTTGACCAGTTGGATGGCTCTTTTGATGATCCAAATACAATGGTTGCAAAAAAGTATTTTCATGCACAGTTGCAACTAGAACAATTACAGGAAGAAAACTTCAGGTAACATTTGTAGTGGAAATCATTTTATACAGTTTTATTAAAATAGTAGCTAAAAAATCATAATATCAACAACTAATTTTTAAGCATTACAAAGCATGTTTAGGATTAGTATCCTAAAAATACTGTTGAAAATACTGAATGGTGTAAGTGGTTCCTGCCCTCATAGGGCTAACAGTTCAGTTTGGCAAGTAGGATACATACGTAAAAAACAAAACAATTCAAAATAATGTGTGATAAGGGCCAAATGAAGGCCATAGGCAAGTCCAAGAGTAGTTTAAAGGAGTGATTGCTGAAGCCTGGGGAGAAGTGGGAGTTTCTTACATGGGAGAAGGAACTTGATAATAAATGGAAAAAATGTAAATCTTAAGCTAAAGAAGATGCTTTTCATATAAACTTTTATATTTCTTCTTTAAAAAAAAAAGTGTGCATCTAACCTTTAATAAAAATTGATTGTCTCTTATGTGCTTACCACTGAGCCTTGCACTATAAGGCCTTGAGGGTAGGTGCTCCAGTTGTACTGTATGTATTTTTGTTGTTGTTACTTTATTATTTTTTTTATTATTATTAGTTTTTTGTTGTTTTTTTTTTTTTTTTGCGGTACACGGGCCTCTCACTGGTGTGGCCTCTCCCGTTGTGGAGCGCAGGCTCCAGACGTGCAGGCTCAGCGACCATGGCTCACGGGCTCAGCCGCTCCACGGCATGTGGGATCCTCCTGGACCGGGGCACGAACCCACATCCCCTGCATCGGCAGGCGGACTCTCAACCACTGCGCCACCAGGGAAGCCCCGTTGTTACTTTATTTTGATATGATTTCAAACTTACCAAAAAAGTTGCAAGAATAGTATAAGGAGCTCCTTTATACCTTTCATTCAGATTTGACAGTTGTTTTACAGTTTTCTTCATTTGCTTTAGCAGTCTCTTTACATAATCATATATATATATATACACACACACGTGTTAGTTTTTGGAACCATTTGAGAGTAAATTGGAGACATGCCCCTTTACCCCTATATACTTCAGTATGTATTTCCCAAGAACAAAGATATTCTCTTATAAATCACAGCATAGTGATCAAAATAGTGAATTGGTCATTGATACAATATCATTATCTAATCCACAGATCATATTCAAATTCCAGCAGCTATTTCAGTGTCCTTTATAGGTAATTTTTTTCTTGGTTCAGAATCTAATCCGGGATCATGCATTGCATTTAGGAAATGGATCCATTTATTGATAGTAATGGATATTCAATGGACAATAGTTCCATTACTGTCATCATTTGTCTTGATGTATAAATTGTCCCAGATTTGACCACTGAGAAACCTTTCAATTTCAACATGTTGCTATCCTTCTTTGAGTATTTTCTTACTTACTGGCACAACAAAATGTTCCAGACTCTTCTTATTCTTCCTCAACTCTAGAATCAGCCATTTCTCCAAGAAGCCCTTATTGCTTTTAGTGGAGAATGTTATTTAGAAACAAAGAACTATGCTCCAGATGAAACTTTCTGTCATTACTTCTGAGCCACCTTGGTGTACAGAGCTAGGAAATACTCTTGCACAGGTTCCTACCAGTCCATGTTTGCACACATGCATATATGCACATATCTGCATTTATTTTCATACCTACAATTATGAACAATGAGTTCATCTTATCATCTTCCATTTTAGTCCAGTGACTTCAGGGTTCATTCTGATTTTCTCCATTTCCAAATTGTAACTCCCTTCTCCAACAGTGAGAAGCCTGGCTTCCACTTTCCTCAATACATTTCCTCATTTACTCAATCCCAAAACACATAGGAAGTAAGAATTGCTAACCCATACCTCTGTAAAAAGCAAACTAATACTAGACTTCAGTACATTTACAGTTCTGTTTTTTTTATGATGACATTTGCATATTGTGAAATGAATAAATACTGAGTACAATTTGACATGCTTTAACAAATGCGTACATTTTTGTAACTCACACTTTTATTGTTTGATAGATCATTTCTATCACTACAGAAAGTTCCCCTATGCCCCTTCCCAGTCAACCCCTATCTCCCAGAGAGTAATTACTCTTCTGATTATTTTCCACCATAGATATGTTTTCTCTCATCTAGAAGTTCTTATAAATTGAACTGCAATATGAATTCTTTGGTGACTGGCTTCTTATGCTCAGCATATTTGTGAAATTTCCAGATGTTGCTGAATATATCAGTAGTTCATTCTTTTTTATTGCTGAGTAGTATTCCATTATATGGAATTATTTCTCATTATGACACATTTTGCTTATTCATTTTCCTTTAGATGGGCATTTGGGTTTCCAGATTTTGGCTAATATAAATAAAGCTGGTATGAATATTGGAGTATAAGACTTTTTGTGAACATATTTTTTTCATTTCTCGTTGGCAAATACATGAATGAACTGGTATTGCTGAGTTACACATTATTTCTGTGTTTAGTGTTAAAAGATACTGGCAAACCATTTCCCAAAGTGTTCATATTGTTTTACATTCCCACCAGCAGTGTTTGCTGCTGGTTGCTCTAGTTACTCTGCCTGTATAACATAACTTGGCTTTATCAAGCTTTTTAATTTTAGTTATCCCAGGGGATGTGTTAAGGGTGTTGAATTGTGGCTTTAATTTGTATTTTCCTGATAACTAATGATATGGTAAGCCCCTTTTCTTGCGCTTATTGGCAATATATCTTACATTGTGAATCGTCTCTTCACACTGTTAGCCTATTTTTAAATTGGGTTGTTTGTCTTTATTACTGAGTTGTAGGAGTTTTAAAAATATATATTCTGGATACAAAATCTTTGTCAGATACACAGGTAGTAATATTTCATCCATTCTTGGCTTGCCTTTTCATTTTTCAAATGGTATCTGAAAGAGTTAAAGTTCTTAGGTGAAGTCTGATTTATCAGTATTTTTAAGGTCAGTGCTTTTTGTGCACTGTCCGAGAAATCTTTGTCTGCTCCCTTGTCATGAAAATACACTCTACTGTTTTCTTCTAGAATCTTTATAGTTTTAACTTTCACATTTAGGTCTGTGATCCATCTTGAACTGATTTTTTGAAACTAGTGTGAGGTGTGGATGTGAAGCTTTATTTTTATTTTCCTTATGAGTATTTAGTTGTTCCAGTATCATCAGCTGAAAAGAAATTTATTTTACTCTGTCAAATTGCTTTGGCACCTTTGTGAAAAATGATACAACCATAAAATTTGGGTCATTTTCTGGACTCAGTTCTTTCCCATTGATCAATTTTTCTATCTTTATGCCTATAAGACACGATTTTGATCACTATGGCTCTAGAGTAAGTCATTTAAAATCAGGTAGTGTGAGTATTCCAACTTTGTTCTTTCTTCTCAAAATTTGTTTTAGCTATTCTATCCTTTGCTTTTTTAGTCAGTTTCTGTAAAAATAACAACCTTTTGTGATTACGATTTGGATTGTATGTGATTGATACCTTGACCATATTGAGAATTTCTGTCTATGAATGTAGTATCTTCGTCTATTTAAGTCTAATTTCTCTAGCAGTTTTCTGTTGTTTCCATCATAGTTTTATGTGTGTCTTCTGTTAATTTTATTCCCAAATATTTAATTTTTTTGCTGTTACAAACACAAAACATTATTCTGAAAAGTTACTGTTAATATATAGATACACAATTGATCTTTGTATATTGAAACTTTTATCTTGTATCTTGAAACTTGTGTCTTGTATTTTGAAACCTTTCTGTCTTGCAAAGTTTCTTAATTCCCATACTGATTCTTCTAGTTGTTTATTGAAGTAGAAAATCCTAAGGAATCTACAGTCACCTTGTCTATTAATAGAGCTTTACCTCTTCCTTGTATTATTTCTGCCTTGTATTTATCTTCTTTGTTTTGAGCAAGAGCAAACATCTTGGTTTGTTCTGGGTCTTTGGAGAAAATGTTCAATTAAGTACTGTCAATTATGAAGCTAGCTGTAGAGTTTTTAAATTTGCTTTTTATCAGATTGAAGGAGTTCCCCCTTTATTTCTGCCTTGCTACAAGTTTTATCATTAATTGGTGTTGATTTTTTGTCAAATGACTTTTCTGTGTCTTGAGAAGATGGTTTGGTTTTTCTTTTTCACTCTTTTAATATGATTAATTTTTGAATGTTAAAAAATCTTGTATTCTAGGGAAAACCAATTGGTCATATTTTATTGTCTTATATACATATGACTGGATTTGGTTTGCTAATATGTTGAAAGTGTTTTTGTGTCTGTCTTTATAATAGATATTGGTCTGTAACTTTTTTCTCTTGTAATGTCTTTCAGGTTTTGTTATCAGAGTTTTGCTAGTCTCATAGAATAATTAGGAAGTATTCTCTCCTCCTCTATTTTCTGAAAGAGTTTATGTAAGAATGATACTATTTTTTCCTTCAGTATTTGATAGAATTTATCAGTAAAACAATTGGATCTGTGGTTTTCTTTGTGAAAGGGCTTTTAATGGCACATGTAATTTCAGTAATGGTCATAGGGCTTTTCAGATTTTCTGTTTCATCTTATGTCAGTTTGCTAAATTGTTTTTTTCAAGGTACATGTTTATTTAAGTTGTTGAATTTATTGGCATAAAGTTGTTCATAATATTCTATTTATTGTCCCTTTAGTGACTGTAGGAGCTGTAGTGGTATTTCCTTTTTCATTCCTGATATTGGTAATTTGTGTTTTCTCTCATTTTTCGTAGTCACTCTTGCTAGAGGTTCATCAATTTTATTAATCTTTTCAAACATCCTTTATTAACTTTCCATATTGTAAGTTTTAGATCTCTGTTCTTTATTTATTTTACTTCCTTTGGATTTAATTTGCCCTTCTTTTTTTAGCCTCTTCAAGTTAGATGATTGATTTTAAGGCTTTCTTCATTTCTAAAATTAGCCTTTAAAGCTGTAAATTTTCCTCTAAGCACTGATTTAGCTGGGTCCCCAAAATTTGATTGATTGTGTTTCTATTATTATTCAGTTTGAAATATTTTCTAATTTCCCTCATGATTTCTTCTTTGACTCGGGGATTATTTAGAAATGTGTTGTTTAATTTCTAAATATTTAAGGCTTTTCTACAGACTTCGTATTGTGACTGATTTCTAACTTAATTTCCTTGTGGTTAGAGAACATATTCCATGAGACTTCAATCTTTTAATATTTATAATACTTATTTTATTGCTCATCATATGTTGTATTGTGGTGAGTGTTCCATGTGTACTTGCAAAGAATGTGTGTTCTGTTTTTTTGACTGACTTGTATCATAAATATTAATTATATCAAACTGGTTAATAGTGTTATTCAGATCTTTTCTGTATTTTTACTGACATTTTTGTTTAGTTCTATCATTTATTGGGAGACTAATGTTAAAATTTTCGACAGTAATTATCGATTTGTGGATCTCTGATTCTGTCAGTTTTTGCTTTATCTATTTTAAAATTCTGTTTTTACTTATATATACCTTTATGATATGTCTTTCTGATAAATTGACCCCTTTATTATTATGAACTGTCTCTCTTTATCTTTGGTAATACTTTTTGTCTTTAAAATTTTTTTGATGTTAATATAACCACCCCAGCTTTCTTTGCGTACTGTTTGCATGGTACTTTTTTTCATCTTTTTACTTTTAATATATTGTGTCTTTATATTTAAAATATTTCTTGTAACTAAAATATATTTGAGCCTTGCTTTTTTTTATCCAGTCTGATAGTCTCTGCCTTTTTAATTGGTATGTTCAGTCCATTTGACTTTTATGTAATTTTTGACATGGCTGTATTTAGGTCTATCGATTTTCTATTTTTCATTTGTTATATCTAGTCTTGGGTTTATTTTTCTTCCTTTTTTGCATTATTTTCAGTTGATCAAATAATTTTTTAATATTTTAATTACTGTATTGTCATTTTAGTTTTTGTTGTTGCTCTAGGCTTTGAAGTATTTATTCTTTATCATAGTCTATACTTAGAGTTAATATTTTACTACTTTACACGCTATGTATATTTTTGGATAACTTTAATATATACATTTTCTCTTCATCTTTTGAAATTAAAATTCCTGTTTGAACTAGAAAACCAAGCTCAGTGTTTTAGAAGTAAAAATGAAAATTCTGAACATCTGTTGCTTCGCAGGTCTGTTTTAAAACCAACAGCTGAAAAGTACCTTATTCCTTTAGTTTTTCTTCTTTTGAATGCAGAATCCAAAGAAACATTTTAGAAGTAAGTTTTGCTAAGCTCGTATCTCCGTAAGAAGACAAATAATGGAAATTACATTATAAATACTTGTTTTCTTTATGCAAGGCTCGAAGCTGCAAAAGATGATTACCGTGTTCACTGTGAAGAACTTGAAAAGCAATTAATTGAATTTCAACATAGGAATGATGAGTTGACTAGTCTTGCTGAGGAAACAAGAGCCCTGAAAGATGAAATAGATGTTCTTAGGTATGGCATGTCTAAATATAATTATGTCACTTCTAAGTTATTACTTAGTCATTTCAGTATTCCATATTTTAATCAGGGATTCTTAGAGTTTTCCCTATGTATCAAGTATTGATCAGTTTTTATCCAGCCTCCTAGTCTTTACTTCTTTTATGCTTGTTGATAGTTATGGACTGTTTAAGGATAACATTTGATTCTTGTTAGGACATTTTCATAAACCTTTTTCTTATTTCTCATTTAAGGAAACGATACCTTTTTCTTAAAAATTTGTAAGCTGAGTTACTTTTAGATACATTTGGCTTGACTTTCTTGTGCTTACTAGTATATCTTGTGAAATTTTTGTGTAAGGAAATGCAGTCACAAACCACATTTTGACATTTGATAAAATATAGATAAGAATCCTAGCATTTATTTCAAGGTTATCTCAGGTTTGTCTTATAGTCTTTGACAATATAAAATTTATATTTAGTTTTTGCCTGTAAAATGTTACTGAAGCAAGTAGTCTATCCACATGACTTTTATATTTTCTGTTAAATTTTTTTAATCAGCCATTTTCTTGCACAGTTTTTAATGTCCTTATTTTAAACGAAATCTTTATAACCATTAATTTGAACTTGCATGTGATATTGAAGTGGTTTGGTTTATTTATTTATTTTTGCTCTAGCCCAGTTGTCAGGTAAGCACAACTCCAAAGGGAAGTGCTTTGCTAAACAAATTATAAGTTGAGTCAACTTCCTTAGTATATCAAATACTTAGAGCTGAACTACATTAAATATTATGCACAAAGCACAATTGGCCTGTAAGCTACAGAGCAGCTCAGAATTGTTCAATTATATTTAGAAAACCATTCTTTTTTTATACATTTTTCTGATATATAAAATAGTTTGATAATTCAGTTTGTCAAATTTGAAGCATTTTTATTTTGATGACTTTATAACGGAAGGGTTGAACTTTAGACAGTTTTAGGCCTGAGTCTGTCTCCAAAGTTCTCGCAAAGTTTATGATTTCTTTTCTCTGTCCCTCTCATTTTTTTTTAACCAATTGATAGTTCATTGGGAAGACTCATTTTACAGCCAGAATAACATTGTTATGTGTACTTACTAGTTTTTACACAGTAATGTTTAGTCTTTGTTATTATAGGGCTACCTCTGATAAAGCAAATAAACTGGAGTCAACAGTTGAGATATATCGTCAGAAGCTCCAAGATCTGAATGACCTTCGCAAGCAGGTGAAAACTTTACAGGAAACAAACATGATGTATATGCATAATACAGTCAGCCTAGAAGAAGAATTAAAGAAGGCAAATGCAGCACGTACACAATTAGAAACATACAAGAGACAGGTAAGAAAATATCTTGATTTTTTAAATCAGTAAAATTGAAGAGTTTAACTTTGAGTTATCTAAGTCTTACATTTTTGTTGGCTTCTGAGCTTGTATATTTTTTGGACATTTTTATTGTTTTATTAGTATTTCTGGTAACCAGTGATAAATGTCTAGAGAATGGAGTTATAGCCTAAAATATTCTCTTCTGCTGTTTATCAAACAACCTAGATAAACAGGGTAGAAGGCTGATATTTTTTTTTTGCTAAGTTATTATTTGTGTATTTTAAAACTTATGTTTATTCTTATCTACATGCCATTTCCACAAATTTTTTTTTTGTTGTTATATAAATTAACCAATTTTTATAGGCTAGCAACATCTCAAATGGTGGTGCTTTACTGGGCCTTCAGTTCCTTCAGTCCTCTGATGACAGACTTTACTGTGACAGCAGAAGTGGTATTGTAGGTCCAGGCACCACCAGCTACCGTTTTCATGCAGGAACCACAGTGCCAAATGCCCACAGCTCATCTCTTCATCTTGGTTTTGCCACAGAAGGAGCAAGTGTATTTGGCATGCTGGCTGATTTCAGTTTTCTTCACCATTTTCCTGAGGGAGGCACCATAATGGGTCCCGTATTTACCCACAATTCCAACCTTCTTGATGCGGTTAGCCACGTCGCTGCAACCTAGGACCAAGCCCAGAGAGTCCACAAATATTTAGAATTAGACTATAATCTTAGTATAAATTTTATTTCCAGTTTCTCATTTATTGAACTCTGAAAAGCTATCAATATTATATACTCTGATTTTGTACTTTTGTTTCCGATAAAAGGTTCAGGATCTTCACGTTAAACTTTCCTCTGAAACCAAAAGGGCGGACACACTAGCGTTTGAAATGAAGCGGCTTGAAGAAAAACACGAAGCTTTACTTAAGGAAAAAGAGGTAAACGTAAATATAATTGATATGTAATATGTATGTCTTGTTTTAGTTTTTAATACTGTCCTTGCTGTTTTAAGAATGGAAGTGATGTAATCCGTTCTTTCTCCAAATTGAAATTGGTGATATAAAAGAAAGTCTTGTAAACATTCTTTATGGGGTTTTGTAAGTTTCTTTCATATGGGAAGATGAAGTCACAGAGCCTAGGTCATGTCTCAGTGCATGCTTTCCAGCTCTAGACTGTCAGCTCCTTGAGAGCAAGGACCATAGATGCAATTTTTTACCAGCTTTATTAAGATATAATTTATATACCATAAATTTCACCCATTTAAAAGGTATAGTTTAATGGTGTTTAGTGTATTCACAAGGTTGTGAAACCATTATGACAATCAAATTTTAGAATACTGTCATCACTCCAAAAAGAGACCGTGTGCCCATTAGCAGTTACCCTGCATTCTGGCCTCCCGTTCCTCAGCCTTAGCAATCATTAATCTACTTGCTGTCTCTATAGATTATATGAATATAATATATGAATATAATATATATATAATATATTATACGAATATTATATATCTGAATATATAATCATACACTTTGTGGTTTTTGTGACTGGATTCCTTCATTTAGCATAATGCTTTCAAGGTTCAACCATGTTGTAGTGTGTGTCAGTACTTCATTTTTTTGCTGAATAATAATCCATTGTATGGATATACCACATTTTATTTATCTGTTCATCAGTGTATGGACATTGGGTTGTTTCCACTTTTTGCCTATTAAATGAATAATGTGGTTATGAACATTTATGTACAAGTTTTTATGTGGGCGTATGTTTTCTTTTTTTTTTTTAATATTTATTTTTTGGCTGCACTGGGTCTTAGTTGCAGCACGTGGGATCTTTCCTTGCAGCATGCGGGATCTTCATTGTAGGGCGCGGGCTTCTCTCTAGTTGCAGTGTGTGGGCTTCTCTCTAGTTGTGGTGCGCAGGCTCCAGAGCACACAGGCTCTCTAGTTGTGGCACGCGGGCTTAGTTGTTGTGTGGCATGTAGGATCTTAGTTCCCCGACCAGGGATCGAACTGGCGTCTCCTACATTGCAAGACAGATTTTCAAGCACTGGACCACCAGGGAAGTCCCTTCATTTCTTGAGTATATACCTAGGAATGGTATTGCTGGATCATATGGTAACTATGTTTAACTTTTTTAAGAACTACCAGACTTTTCTAAAGTGGATGAACCATTTTTCATTATCACCAGCAATTTGTAGATTCTAATTTCTCCACATCCTTGACTAAGTATATTAAATTTTAATTTTGGCTATCCTAGTGGATATGAAGTAGTATAGCATTATGGTTTTAATTTGTATTTCCCTAATGACTAATGATATTGAACATCTTTGCGTGTACTTATTGGCCATTTCTAATTATCTTTGAGAAATATCTCTTCAAATTATTTGCCCATGTTTTGTCATTTGCCTTTTTAATTTCAAGTTCTAAGAGTTCTTTATATATTCTGGATATAAGTCCCTTGTCAGATACATGATTTGCAAATATTTTCTCCCATTTTGTGGGTTGTCTTCTCCCTTTTTTTTTGATGGTATTTTTTTTGTAGCAGAGTAGTTTTTTTATTTGATGAAGTCAAGGTTATCTATTTTTTCTTTTGTTAGTTTTATGGTGGTGTTTCTATGAAACCATTGAATAACCTTAAGGTTGTAAAGATTTATTCCTATGTTTTCTTTTAAGAGTTTTATAGTTTTAGCTCTTATATTTACTCTGTGATCAATTTTGAATTAATTTTTTATGTGGTGTGAGATAGGTTTCTAACTCTATTCTTTTGTGTGTGTGTATTCAGTTGTCCCAGCACCATTTGTTGACAAGACTTGCCCCATTGAATTGTCTTGGTACCCTTGTTAAAAATCAATTGACCATGATACTGTAATGATGGATATACCTTTGTCAAAACTCATAAAAGTGAAACAGAAAGAATGAACCCTAATGTAAGCTATGTCCTTTAGTTAATAATAATATTATTATTATTATATTGGCTCATCATTTCTTACAGGTAACCACAATAATGAAAGATGTTAATAATAGAGAAAATTGGGGAATGGGGGGAGATGAGGGAATATATGGAAACTTTGTACTTTCTGTTCAGTTTTTCTGCAAAAAAGTGTATTTTTTTTTAAGTAAAAAAAAATCATTTGGCCATAAATATATGACTTTATTTCTGGACTTTTCTTTGTCATTGATGTGTATGTCTAGCTTTATGCTAGTAGCACACTGTCATGATTACTGGAGCTTTGTAGTAAGTTTTGAAATTGGAAAGTATGAGTTCTCCAACTTTGTTCTTCTTTTTAAAGCTATTGTTTTGGTTATTCTGGGTCCCTAGCATTTCATATGAATCTTAGGATCAGATTAGCAATTCCTGAAAAATAGCCAGATTGAGATATTGATAGGGATTGCCTGAATTTGTTGATCAGTTTGGAAATCTGGCCACCTTAATAGCATTAACTTTCTGATCCATGACTGTAGGATAACATTCCATTTATTTAGGTCTTTAGCTTCTTTCAACAATGTTTTTTAGTTTTCCTTGTACAAGACTGCACCTTTTAAAGCTTTATTCATGAGTGTTTTATTCTTTTTGTTACCATTATAAATGAAATTATTTTTTCAGTTTCATGTTTGGATTTTTCAATGCTAATGTATAGAAATACAATTGATTTTTGAACACTGATCTTGTATTTTGCATCCTTGTTGGACTCACTTAGTATTTCTAATAGTTTTTAGTAGATTCTTTAGGATTTTCTATATAGAAGATCAGGACATCTGCAAATACAAGTAGTTTTACTTCTTCCTTTGCAATCTGGATGCCTTTTATTTCCTTTTCTTGTCAAATTGTTCTGGCTAGAACCTCCAGTACTTTGTTGAATAGAAATGGCAAGGGTGGATATCCTTCTCTTGTTTCTGATATTAGGGAGAAAGCATTCACTCTTTCATCATTATGTATGTTACTAGCTGTGGGTTTTGTTTGTAGATGCCCTCTATCAGGTTGAAGAAGTTTCATTTTATTCCTAGTTTGTTGCATGTTTTTATCCTGAAAAGTTTTTGGATTTTGTCATCTGCTTTTTCTGGGTCAGTGAGATGATGTGTGGTTTTTGTCTTTTATTGTATTAATGTGGTATATTACACTGATTTTTGATATTAAATCAGTTTGCATTCTTGAGGTAAATTCCACTTGGTCATAGGGTATAATCCTTTTTATATATTGCTAGATCCAATTTGCTAGTATTTTGTTGAGTGTTTTCCCATCTATATTATAAGAGATATTGGTTGGTAGTTCTTTTGATGTCATTGCCTGGTTTTGGTATCAAGATGATACCACACAGAATGAGTTGAAAATTTTTTCCTGCTTTTTAGGTTTTAGCTCACTTGAAGTCTTTATCTAGTGTGTCCACCCACTAGGGTCATCTCATTGACTTTTTCTGTTAACTGTTTGTCTTTTTTTTTCCTGCATTGGGACTGTCCTGTTTCTTTGCATGTTTCATACTTTTTTTGAAAATATGACCTTTAAAATAATATAATATTTCAACTCTGGAAATCCAGATTTTCCTTCAACCTCAGAGTTTGTTATTATTGCTGTTTTTTTTAGTGACTCTTTTGGACTAATTCTATAAAATCTTCTTTCTTTGTAATGTTCAACCACTGAATTCTCTGCTCAGTTACCATTGAGATCAGTTAATGATTAGTCAGATATTTCCATAGATGCCTTGAGCCAATAACTCTCCCAACCTTTGCCAAAGGACTCAGTGTGTATTTTGGAAAACGTCTTCAATTCTTAGGCAATTTAAAACTCTGCCTTTGCCTTTATTTCCTATTTGCACAGGGCCTCAAGTTTATCCAGAGCTGAGACATTGGGGCCCTCTCAGGTCTTTTCTGGGCATGCACACAACTCTGTATATAGCTGGCCTCCTGGATCTCCAGGGATATGTCAGAACTTTTCTAAGTCCTCTATGGATTTCTTGTTTCTCAGCTCTTCCTTGTAAGGTTTTGGCAAGGCTCTTGTTTGCCCTAACTGGCATCACAGCCTCCAGCAGCTATAGTGAAAACAATTGCTGATGATTGTTTTTGACAAATCAGTCAATGAAAAGTATGACTGGGGCTTCTCCAGGATGCTTCTAGACAGACCAGATAGTGACAGTTCTCTAAGCATGGGGCTTTTTTAGGAGGAGTTTCATATCCGGTCTGACCATTCTGGTGGTGGCTAAGCTGCTGTTTTTCAAAGCCATAGAAATTGAGAGGGAATTCTCTGGTGGTACAGTGGTTAAGACTCAGTACTTTCACTGCCGTGGGCCTGAGTTCAGTCCCTCGTCGGGGAACTAAGCCGTGTGGTGCGGCCAAAACAAAAAACAGGAACAAAGCTACAAAGATTGAAAGTCTGCTGGTTTTCAAGGCTACTCCAGAGTTGGGGAGAGGGTGATAGTAGTAAGAATAGTTAAAAGAACAAAAAGCTCCCTGTTCTGAGATTTAACAGAGTTTCTTTAACAAGTGCTCCTCAGATCATGGCCGACCCTTGGTTAATTTTCAGAGTTCTGGAAAAGTTGATTTTGACAAATTAGCTAGTGTTTGAATTGCATTTATGAAGGAACAGATTTATAGGGGTCCTCATGCCTGACTGTAGTTATAGTTTATAGTGTTCATGTTCAGAGATTCCTACGGCATCTGTGCACTCTGGCCTAAGGACCCTTGGAGTCAGGACCCTTGGACCCTAACCAATTTACTGTGAGGTTGATTTGAACCACATAATGGACTAAGTAGAGTTTTGTTTACTGATTTGAAATATAACATTTAAAATATGATTTTATGTTAAAGTACTTTTCAAGTTCCGGGAAAATCATTTAAACATGAGCCTTTTGTACAGAGTGTAGAAATTTGTCATTGGCTGTCAGCTGTAAAATAAAATAGCCAATGTTATGAAGTCCTAGCATGCTATCCCTAGGAAATAATGTTTTTCCACAAATTCATACTTCCAGTATGCTACTTAGAGTAATAGAAGGAAATAACAAGTCTCCAGCATCTCTTACACACCAGACTATAGTCTAGATATTAGACAAACTTTATCTCATTCGCTACTCAGAACACCTTTGCAGGGGCTTATGAATCAGTATTCTCATTTTGATGATAAAGATCTAAAGCCAAAGAATCAATAACTTGCCTTAGATAGTATAGCTGGAAATAGTGAAACTGAATTCGGGGCACGATCTATTTGCCTCCAAAGTCCATGTACTTTAATTACTCTACAGTTGCATATTTGTGCTCTGTTGCATAATTACATTCATTTGGTTCAAAGATAAACTATCTAATGGGGAAAATCACAAGCTTTGTGTTGTATAAAGTATTATTTATGTGATTTATACAAGAGAAATTACCCCTTAGCACTAAAACTAAAACATTGTCATTTTTAATTAAGGAACAATTATCAAATTAAATTAAGATAAATTATTCTAAGCATAAATTAAATTGCCTGTGGGCAGAATTAAATATTTTGCTTATATAAACAATTCTTTTTTAGAGACTAATAGAACAGCTTGATACTCTGAAAGAAACAAATGAAGAGCTTCGATGTTCACAAGTACAACAGGATCACCTAAACCAAACAGGTGAATTTTGTTGCATTTAGAAAAGGTTTTTGTAATGGTAGATATACTGAAATGTTAATCTATTTTTTTGTTGCTGATGTTGTTTAGATGCATCTGCTACAAAAAGCTATGAGAATCTTGCTGCTGAGATTATGCCAGTGGAATATAGGTAAACTTGTTTTTATTAATTGATAACCCATACTTAATATTAGAAACGTGATTTCTTCTTCCTTTTGTAAATTTCTAAGCCTTTAACATTTTCCATTTTACGAGTCATAGGGCTTGAAAATTACTTTGTATCATGCTTATGCTTTCTAAATCAGATTGTTATTGCTACTATGGAAGCTTAAAAATTTACCAGAAATAAAATTTCACTTACTAGCTGAATAACATATTCTAGTTTATATAATACAGCCTTTATTGTGTTTAACTTATTTTTTTATCCTTAATCTCTTTGGTAATACTTTAAAATGACAGCTATTGAGTGGACAGGAATTTCCTCTTTTAAACACTAAGGAAAACCTTTTTAATACTTGGCATTCAGATCCACACTGGTGAAGAAAATAGGAGAGGAGCTGTCAATTGCAGGAGGATTAAGCTGGAGTTAAACAAAATACAAATTTTAGAAGTTCCTCTTGACCTAACTTTAATTTTGGTATTTTACCGCTATGTTTACTTCTAGGTATTTGACTAATCTGGTATAAAATTTTCTTTTCCTTTTTTGTGGCAACAGTTTTATTTGTTAATTACTTCTAATTCTACTCTTTATTTAAACAGCTTTATTGAGATATAATTCACCCGTTTACAAATATACAGTTCAGTGGTTTTTAGTGTAATCACAGAGTTGTATAACCATCATCACTATCTAGTTTTAGAACATTTTCATCCTCCACAAAAGATACCCTGTACCTATTAGCAGCCATTCCCCATTCCTGCCTCCCCTCCATCGCCAGCTCCAGGCAACCAGTAATCTACTCTGTCTCTATGGATTTGCTTATTGTGGACATTTCATATACATGGAATCATACAATATGTGTCCTTTTGTGAGTGACTTCTTTCACTTTGCATAATGTTTATAAAGTTGTTGATTTTCAATTTGTTCAGCTTTTTGCTGTTAAGATAGAGCTCCTTACATGCTGGGCTGGAAACTAACTTGCACTTTTTAGTTAGTAATATCCAGTGATATTAATCATTTAAAAATAGCCATTTTTTAAAGTGATGGTTCTGGCATTCAGGAGAACAAATATTGTGATTAATTAAAATTAGTTGCTTTTGGGGAATGGAATTTAGGAGGGCAGCAGGTAGGAAGCATTACTTTTTAATTTAATACCATTCCTATCATTTGCATTTTTAAAAACATGTATGTAAACCTTTAATAAAAATTTTTTCTAAAAACAAAAATTCTAGAGACACTCATATGACTGTCATTATCATAAAAGTATACTTAAAAATTTAAAGCAAACTGTAGTTTCTTAAATCTACTGCTTTTTATTTATATGTTTTCTAAGGATGTGCTATATATTACCTTTAGTGTGAATAGTTTCTAAATTATCAAAGTAAAATAATTCATATCATCTCTTAGGGATTTACATAATAAACATTTATTGACATATAATCTTATACCTTTACCTTTAAAAACTTACCATTTGTTTTTTTGAGACATAGTACTACAATGCACAGTTTTTTCTTAAGAACTTTCAGAAGCTTTGGTAACGTTTCAAAATGACAGCTAGCGAGTGGACAGGAATTTTCTTTTTTAAAAAGCAAAGAATTTAAAAAACTCTTATACTTAAAAAAATTGTTTTTAATTGCTTTTTAACATCAGGGAGGTGTTTATTCGACTGCAACATGAAAATAAGATGCTTCGATTACAGCAGGAAGGTACTGAGAATGAACGTATTGAAGAACTTCAGGAACAGCTGGAACAGAAGCACCGCAAGATGAATGAATTGGAAACTGAGCAGAGGTGACTGACACACTCCTTCATAATTGATAGTCATAGAGATTTAATTACCTAACCACAGAATCTTGATTCGCAGAAGTGGAAGATATTGTAGTTCCAATAATTAGGATTTGCACAAGTTTCGATTTTTGTTTTTTCATCTCTCACTACCCACTATTTTTAGCAGACTTTGTTAAAGCAAGTTGTTTATTCTTGAATTTCATTTAGATGTCTTCACAAATGACAAAAAATTAACAGATGAATAAATGACAATCTGGTTTTCAGCTGGAGTCTTGTGCATAGATGGTACGTAGATTGTGGAGTCAAATTTGAATTCCACCTCTACTTAAACTGGGCAAGTTACTTAAATTCACACTTAGTGTCCTCGGCTATAAATTGGAGATGACACCTATTTGCAGGTTCTTATGAAGATTACAGATAATGTGTTTAAAGCAAGTGGTGTACTTATCTGATATCAATGAGGTGTTCAAAAATTATAATGTTTAAAAAAAATAACGTTTATATGGTGCTTACTAGTACCAGGCACTTTTCTAAGCACTTTTTAATATTAACTCAGTAAATTCTCACAATAACTCTATGAAGTAGTAACTATAATTACCTCTTTTTTTATGGACAAGGAAGCTGAGGTGCAAGGTGTAACTTGCCCAAAGTTACACAGCTAGTAAGTTCTGGATCCTGCATTTGAACCCTCTGTCAATCTGACTTCAGAGTCTGTGCTCTTTAACCACTTTGCTAACCTGCCTCTTACAATAGCATACTGACAATGAAGGTATTTGGATTTATCTGACCTACCTTTATTGGATCTTAGAGACCACCAGGAATTTTAAAGACACTTGAACCTTGTCTCTCAACTTGTATGTATACTATTACATCAACTGCAGTTAAAAGAAAAATAATGTTTTAGCTTTCTGAAGAGACCATTAAATATTGCTGTTTTATATGGTTCAATATCAGCACTGGAGATCCTAAGTTTCAGCTGTTAATATAGGAAGATAGACATGTGAATAGATAATTATTATGTGATAACTGTAATATTGGAAAAATGGAGTGTCATGATGGGCAGGTGTGTTGTGTCATATATATATGAAGAGAGAAAGTCAGACAGATAGTAACTCTCTCTCTCTTGCTGGTAACTTCAATGGCAGTAATGATTAAGCAGGGTTTTTTGTTTTTTTGTTTTCTTTGACTGGAGTATAACTGCTTTACAGTGTTGTGTTAGTTTCTGCTGTACAACAGAGTGAATCAGCTATACGTATACATACATCCCCTCCCTCTTAGACCTCCCTTCCACCCCACCCCCATCCCATCCACCTTTAATGAGATTTTGCCAAGTTAAAAAGCTGCAGTAGTTGCTAGTGCCAATCTCTTTAGTTGAAATAAAAGTCATGAAGAAATGGTTGGAAAATGGTGGCCTTCCTCTTCTCCCAACACCCTGTGAAATCTGAAACAAGAAATGGAAACCTAATTTCCATTCATTAAAAATACAACTGAAGGAAAACTGAGCTAGTTTTCTGATTTTTATACCAGTGAGTACAGTGCAGAAACGTTATGCTTTGCCGCTGACTCATTAAGAACCTTAAATTTTTAAATGTGGGCATGTATGCTTTCAGGATAAAAATGTCTTTTTTTAAAGAATATTTCCTTGAAAGTAGGCTATTATACCATATATTATACCTAGCCACAGATAATTGTTCAGCTTTGGTTATTGCTATTAAATGTATACATTATGAGTTAAATTGCGTAAATGCACCTTTATAGATCCTTAACTACTTTGACTTTCAGTACAAATAAACACGTGTGATTCATCTTATAATAGGCTGAGCAAAGAACAAATTCGAGAATTGCAGCAGCAGATTGAGGACCTCCAGAAGTCTCTGCAAGAACAAGGCTCCAAGTCTGAAGGAGAAAGTGTAAGTAACTTAAAAGTTATGATAATTCTGTTGTGTATGGACTCTCTGTAATAGGTCCTGATGTCCAAATTAATCTTGTCCTTGAAAGTGCTACCCTTATCATTGGGGGTGCCCTTAAATACCGTATATATATGCATAACAGATGCAGTGATTTTGGCAACTTGAAGCCTATAAATTGATCATATGGATTGGAAGGTGATTTCTATCTGTCCTACTTTAACAGCTACCCTTAAGTTCATGGTAATTCCTGATTGGGAGCATGCTACAATTGAGGCCTTCACAGTTTTGCTGGGATCCCAACAGGACTGGCCTGAGAAAACCCTAGTGAGAGTAATCTGCAGTCAGAATAGAGGAAAAGAGAGAATGAGAAAGTGATTTCTACCAAAAGAACATTCAAGAAGTAGGTCACATCAACCTCCAAAGGACAGAAATCTTAAAGCAGTCTTGAAGTACATCACCCCTTATTTCTTCCCTCCTTTTATACAGACTCATGGCCTTGCCATTTTTCATGGTTTTTGATGGCAAACAATTGTGAGGGCAGAGGTAAGAGGACTTAAAAAAGATCAAACAGCCTAAATCTGAATAGAACTAGCGATGTTTATATAGTTCAGTCTCTATATACAGAGAGGAGAAGAAGTAATAATTGAGGGAGGAATGTATTTAACTAAAACAACAACAAAAAGATAGGGCTGATGTCATACTTGACACATTGGACCTGTCTTCAAGACCACACAAGTATTACAGCAAATATTTTCCTGTTTCCATTGGGAAGTGTGACAGAAACTGAATATCTGCCCTTGATTCTTTTGCACTTGCCATCCTATTTTCATGCTTTTCAGTATAGACTAAATCCTTCCTTAATCTAGTGTCCCTTATACTTCTTTTATAGCCTAGCATTTAAGCTAAAATTAGGACTCAGGGCCATATTCTTGTTAATATCCCTTGTAAGGAGGTGTGTTTCTGTTGTGTTAGCAACCTGTGTAGCTCATTCTCAGTCTGGACTTGCAACTAGCAAACTTACAGAATGAGAGCAAAGCACAGGTGGGCTGGCCCACAGACCATTCTTTCCTCTTCTTTTCTGCCACAGCTTGCATCTCAAACAGTCCCCCAAGAGAATTATTTGATGAAAGTTTGGCATTTGGAAAATATAAATAGACTTTGTAAAATAGTATGGATGAGCAGAGATTTTTTTGAACTAATATATTAGAGAGAAAATGAACAACATTGAAATGGGAGTTGGATCCATAAACTCAAATTAAAGAATTGCTTTCTTTCTCCACAAAGACTTCAAAATACTAAATGGGCTTTGTGCCAATAGCTCCTCAGTGGGCTATGCTATTGGGAGTCTAGGAAGCAAAATGAAAGACAAAATGTTCATTTCAACAAAAAGCCCTTTTTATTGACTATAACATACATACAAAAAAGTATGTTGTGTATGTGCATTGTGTATGTGTGTGTGTGCATATTTCCTAGCTCTGCTCATGGAAAAGGCTTAGAAACAATCCCAATAAGCATGCTTGAAACTGAGCGGGACGCTGTAGGGCCCTCCCAGGTACAAAAGTCTTTCTCTGTCTCCCATTTCATGTTTTAAGGAAAAAGGCTTTGGCCTCCTAGACCTTACCTGAGTTCTAAAGGGCAGATTCAAACAGTTACTAATTAGGGAAGGGAGGGAATGCAGAAACAGAGGAGGAGCGATCAAGAAACAACAGTGCAGATGAAGCATGGTCCTGGTTCCTCCTCAAAGGATATACATAACAATATATCTCTGAGTTCTTCTACAGGAACTAAGATCCCCACCCAGGTGGAGGATGGTAACTTCAGGCTGAGCACATGATTTCTAGAGCACTGCCCTGTTACCTCACCACCAACCAATCAGAGAAAGGTCATGCACCCTGCAGCCCTCCCTCAAAATTTTGCCTATAAAAACTCTTTCCTGAAAACCATCAGGGAGTTCAGGCTTTTTGAGCATAGGCTGCCCATTCTCCTTGCTTGGCCCTTCCATAAAACTTTTTCTGTTCCAAAAAAAAAAAGATAGGGCTAGATGTGTGTTAGATATTGATTGGATAGAATGTTAGGTAACTATACTTGTATTGATGAGGGAGAGTAAATAAAGAGATGAAAAGGAAGATTGGAAGGGTTGAGTTTTCTTTCTGTCTTTTATATGCTTTATATGATTTTCTCTTTTTTCCCTGGGGGCTTGGAAAATAGAAATCATCTCATGCATGGCAGCATCTCATATGTGCATATATACAGTATTGTAACCTCTCTAATACAAATTTTTTTAAGCCACATTAAAAAATATTTTTAAATGGGATCATTTTGGGGTAGTACATTTTGGATTGCAGTGTTTTAAGGATTTTAAATTTATCTTTTTAAAAAAATTTATTGGTGTCCAAATTACATTTTAGATTATATATTTTAAACTCTTCAAACTATTTGGTAAATGATACAGAACTAGTATTGCAATCTAAATTCCTTTTTGCAATCTAATTCCTAAGTTCTTTTAAAGAGGAAATTTTGTGTTTTAAATTTTATTTTTTAACAAAATCCAATTGCTTCATTTTGATGTTAATATTGAAAGTGCTTGCATTTATAATGATAAAGTTTTATTATAGAGATAATTTTTGTTCATTAAGTCTATTCTTTAGTGAAGGTCTAAAATCCTAAAATTTGTGTTTTAGATGGATGATTCTTTAGGAGTTTAAATGTTTGATACTCCTCAATATATCACATTCAGCTTGCATTTGCTATTTTCCTTTGAGTTCAAATTTTATTTTCATTGTATTCAAAAATATGAAGTATTTTTCTTTCTGCTATTATACTTACTCTTCCTAATTTAATTTCCTATTCTCTCTTTCTTCTTTGAAGTAAGAATATACCTAAAATTTCCTGTTTTTAAAAGTATGTTATTAGAAATACAAATTTTTAAAACATTTATAATTTTATATAGTATCCCTTCAAAAGGAGGTAAAGAGATTTCAATGTCTGGAAAACTTACCTTTGTCACAATAGTTATCTTACAGCAACTTTTTCTAATTTTTATAGTCCAGCAAACTAAAGCAGAAGTTGGAAGCTCATATGTAAGTAAAACTGATTTTCATTTCAAATATGAGAGGGGAAGGGTTTTAAAAGCTTCTGAAGTTATTAATATCCTTTTCTGATTTTGTTTATTAAAAGTAAAAACGCTGATGCCAATTCAGTGTTCACCACTGCTATCAAAAGTGAAAGGAAGAACATGGTAAAAGGGTCAGCCTACCTGCTCATGATCCCAAACTCCTACATTTTTTTATCGCTAATGTCGTTTGAAGAGTTTATAAAGCAGACAACTGTCAGAACTAGATTATGTGGAAGTGTGGGATGTTTAACCTATAAAATATTTAACTTTCTTAGGAAGCAAGGGTGGCCAGGGGAAAACTGTAAAATTTTTGGCACCCACCATGTGTCAGGCAGTTTACATCCTCATAACCAACCCCTAGAATATTTGGCAGGTATTATTCCCATTTCACAGATGAAGAAACTGAGGATCAGAAAGTGACTTTCCCACAGTCCACAAATGTTATGTGGCAGAAACCAGTTTTCATTCTTAGGTCTGTTTGGCTCCAAAGCTCCATGCTCTTTCCACTACTTAGGGAAAAACTAACGGAGGTCCATGAAGAATTACAGAAGAAACAAGAGCTCATTGAAGACCTCCAGCCAGATGTAAACCAGAATGGTAGGTATTTGTAAAAATCTGGATCAGACTTTATGTAAAGACTTGACTCTTTTAGTTGAAGGATGCAAGAACTGTGTATATAAGTCTTCAGGCAATGCAGATACGTACATTGCAAATAAGAATCATAATAATTTTTAGTGATTTAAGTAATTAATAAATGATCATATCCTAAAGCAAAAAAAGGTAAATCTAATAAAATGACCTGATATATAGGAGTATCAAACATTGTAAAATATAATAAAATTAATACTATGGAAGTGTAAATAAAATAATTTATAATCAGATTAAAATGAACTTCAAACATTGTAGAAAGAATGCTTTATTTTGTGATGGTTGTGCTTACATTGTAAGGTGTATTTGCTCAATGAAATACTTGATAGAAGGGAGAAAAATAACTCAGTAAAGCAGATTAGAGATATTTTTTAAGAAAAAATAATACAAAATGATCAGGGATGTATTGGGTGTAGTTCAAAAGTTTTAGATAAGAATTGACTACAAAGAAGAAATGAAATGTTTCTCTTCTAAGTTCTCATTATCAGTCTTTAGAAAATATATATTTTTTTATGTGAGGAGGGAGTACTTTAAATTGCTCGTTTCATTTTCTTTTCAATAACAGTACAAAAGATCAACGAACTTGAAGCTGCTCTTCAGAAGAAAGATGAAGATATGAAAGCAATGGAGGAAAGATACAAAATGTACTTGGAGAAAGCAAGAAATGTGAGTAGCTTATCTTTCAGGGTTTTAGTCTTTGTGAGTTGGGTTCTAATTGGACCTATCCCACCTCTTCTTGGATCTATGTCACATCGCTTTGCTCCCCACTACCCTGCCTTGCCAGTCAGGTTCCTGGTGCGTCTCCACCTCAGTCCTCATGTTCTTTCCCTCTCACTCATCAGCATCAGAAAATACTACGCATGGCTTCATAGGGACAGTTAAATATTGATTGTAGTGACCTCATATAGAGAAAATGACTACTGTAAGGCATGTAATCTTTAGCTCTTACAGTGAACATTTGCCTTTGTGAAAATTGAGCTTTGCAAACTTGTTTAAATTGTTTTAGCATTAAGTCTGTATTAGACAGTTAATGTTCTAAATGTTCACCAAACTTGTTTAAATTGTTTTAGCATTAAGTCTGTATTAGACAGTTAATGTCTAAATGTTCACCAGACTAATTATTCTTTTCCTTATTTCATACTTTTTCTTAAATATCTGTAAGTACTGTTCTCATAAAGTCTTTTATTTCCATGAATATATTTTCCTAATTAACTGTAAGTATTCTCAAAGAATGTTAATGTGCCCTTTTCTAGTTACTGAATAAAAGAAGAGAATTTTATGACAGAGCCTTAAAATACTGCTAACATGTCTTCCCTTGTTATGTTTAAGTTTTTTATTTATTAAGGTGTAAATAGTACCTGCAGTAACAGGTACGCCCCAAGATCTCAAGGCTTAGCAAGATAGAAGTTCCCTTCTTTCTTTTTTTTTTTTTTTTTTTGTGGCACGTGGGCCTCTCACTGCTGTGGCCTCTCCCGTTGTGGATGGAGCACAGGCTCTGGACGCGCAGGCTCAGCGGCCATAGCTCACGGGCCCAGCTGCTCTGCGCCATGTGGGATCTTCCCGGACCGGGGCACGAACCCATGTCCCCTGCATCGGCAGGCGGACTCTCAACCACTGTGCCACCAGGGAAGCCCAGAAGTTCCCTTCTTGATCACATGAAGTTCAGTCGTCAGTGTGGGAGGGGCCATACTCTATGCAGTCATTCAGAGCCCCCAACTGACGAAGGGTCAGCCTTCTTCACTAAGGGGTTCTCAGATTCACTCGACATTGTCCAGCTACAGAGGAGGGAAGACAAGCCAAGATCGTATGGGACATATGTAATGGATCAGGTGTAAATCTCTTCCCTCGCATTTCATTGGGCAGAACTCAGGCAGGTGGCTGCACCCAACTTCAGGAGGCCGACTTACTAAACATCCGGGCAGTCTGCCACACTTCAGTGTCTCTGTTACAAATGTGTAAATGCTTTCAGTAGAAAATTTATTGAAAGGTTCCCAGAGACAACTGCTGTTATCAGTGCATTTTTTTCAGTGCCTGTTATCTCCGTGATTGTTTACCGTAACACACCCACACACCCAATTTGTATGATCGTATCACGTATGATTTTGATCGTGCGATTTGTATTTTTAAACTTAATGTCCTCATGTTACATAAATATAGCTTCATATTTATCGAGCACCTGTTATGGTAAGCACTGGGAATACAGCAGCAAACAATACACTTGTGTATGAAGCAGACTGCAAAATTAAAGAGTTAGCTACATAATCTTTCAGTTGAGTAGATATATCATTGTTTACTTAGTCAACATCCTATTGTTGGAAATAGTTTGTTTCCATGTCTTTTTTGCTCCTAGAAATAAGGCTACAGGAAACATATTTATACAGAAAGTTTCCCCTTATTTTGGTTTATTATGTTAATCTTGTTCCTAGGTTAATGCATCAAAGTTATTGGGTCAAAGGATAAGAACATTTTTAAGATGCTTAACATGTATTTCTACATGATATTCTAAAAGTATTATAGCTAATTGGACAAAGCAATGACAATGAATCCTGTATTCTTGCCATCATCAAATATTATCATTTAAAAAATAGTTGCTTTTTTGGTAAACATGATTTCGTTTTTTACCCTTACACTATTTCAGGGGAGAGGTTAAAATAGTAACATATGTACATGATAGAAAGCTCAGAAAATATAGAAAAGTCACAACCATACTTTCTATCACTTAGAGGCAACCAATTTTTATGTGTTCTTTGTAATTATGATTTAAAAAATAATGTGTCTGCTTTTACAATGTGTACTTCATAAGGGGAGGTACTTCGTAAGAGTCAGTTGCCCTGACTCTGGCAAACTGCTGCAGCCCCATCTGCCACAGTGCCTGCCACGTTTAGCAGTGAATCGTTTTGAATGAACCACAGTAATGTTTAGGGATATTACTTTCTAGTCTTTTTTCTTTACCTCTATAAACATAGATGAAATTTTCTTGTCATTAAATTTTAAATCTTTTAAAATAGATTTGTAATTAGGTGATACAGATGACCTTATTATTGGAAACTTGTTTTGCTTGTAATTTACACCTAATATTTCTGAGTTGATTTGCTACCATACTGCTGACTACATAGTTTAGTTCAGTCTCTGAACAACATTCTGATCAAACTTTGTTTTTGCTCACATTTGGTAATTTACATGGATATGATTGAATACTCTAGAATTTGCAGACAAAATCATCAATGTCTATTTATCTTATATATTGAATTATATCTAACTAGATAATGGTAGTAAAAGATTGTTGCTAAGAATTTTTTTGTGTGTTAGTTACTCCTACTTTGTACAGTTAGCAAGTTCCCATATAACTATTGAATTCATTTTAATTAATTAAAAAATGTTTTATCTGATTCAAGTTAAAGGTAGAAAAGGGTATTTCAAGACCTCAGTGCTCAAAGCTTGATGAGGCTAAGTAACTATTTCTGAGTACTGAGCCTGGAGAAGGATATTTGATTTGGGGATGGGTATCTTCCCATTTTTGTACTGAATTTTTACAGCATTTCTAGTCTGTAGAATGTTATTTTTGTTACTCAAATTAGAATGTGAAACAAGTTATAGTTAGCTCCTGGATCACTTTCTGGATAATGTTCCACTTTACACAGATGTTACACACTGTGTTCTTATTTCAGTATTTGACAAGATAAAGTGAATGTAAGAGATTTGTTTTTTTCCTTTAAACAGGTAATAAAAACTTTAGACCCCAAATTAAATCCAGCATCAGCTGAAATAATGCTACTTAGAAAGCAGTTGGCAGAGAAAGAGAGAAGAATTGAGATTCTGGAGGTAAAACTTCCATATTCATATATCTCCTCTTAATTATTCTGTCAATGTATAATTAACTGCTGTCAGTATTTGCCATTAATGATCAAATTTCACAAGAATTTAGAAGTTAGGAGTGTCATGTTTTAGCACTCAGTATGCTTATTACAAAGCATCTCACAAGCCCACAAGATGGGCCTCTACAAGCTCATGTATCTTGCTCCATTGTATGTCTCTCCCTCTGTATCAGCCAATCATATAGATAGTCCTTCTTTCTAGTAGAGTCCTGCCATCATGCTCCTTTTAATATTATGTGGATGAGAGTTCATTTAAAAAAAAAAACACACACAAAGCTCACCTTTTTAAAAAGGTACTACACTCAGTTAACCAGATTCTTCTTTTACTTTTCTTCTCCCAAGAAATCAACTAGGAAGGTTATGTTTCAGGGAAATACACTATATTCATTTACTCATATTATTTCTGAGCCAGTAGATAGAGACTGTGGTGGAAATAATTTATTTAAAGCTTTAAAGACTTTAATGTACAGAGTACACACCAGCCTTATGGTGCACTTGCTGCAAGTGCTTGTCCAGGCCATGTCAAGTGTTGTAAAAAATCACTGGATAGAAGTGTCTCTCTGAAGAAATACTATCCATTCTTCAGGATCCAGCTCCAGTATCTCCCATTTATAAAGCTCTCCTTGTATATCTTAGGCAAAGTTAGTTGTCTCTTTATAGTGACTCCATGTACTTTGAACTCATGAATTCATCCCACAATAGCATTTTTCTTTATGGCATGTGTCAGAGTGTCGTGAGGGCAGAGGCTGTATCATATCTCTGTACCCCCACGGTATTAAATATCACATCAATCAGAAGCCAAGGTTACAGCTTTACTGTTAACTTGTCTTAAAGTTGTCACTCCTGTCTGGTCCTCAGTCTCCTCATCTGTAAAATAATGGGACTTGAACTGAATAATCTATGAACTCTAAGTTGCTTTGAATAGTCACTTCCCAGTGAAAGCCAATGAGAATGTGCACCAGTGTTGATACTTGAAATGTAGCTCCTTTACAAGTGTGATGACAAAATGGCGCCTCTAATATAGGGCTGTGAGGAAAATCTTCAGTTAAGTCACAGCATATGGGCCTTTAATTTATGTGTAGTTATCTGTACACACACTGCAAACAGTAAAAAGGAGAAAACTAATGTTTATAGCAGAGGTTATTCTGTCTGCATCCTTCTCGGGCAGTCTGTCTGGAGTGGATGTGAGCGAGAAGATGGGCATCTTACCTCCTTTGTTTCCTGTATGCTTTTCGTACCATGAGCATCTTGCTGTAGGAACATTCATATGTTTTAGATGCCAGCTATATCTGGTGCTCCACAACATGTACAAAATCAGCTGTATTAGAGTAATTAAGAAATGAACATCAGTCTCTAGGGTGGCACGCAGATAGGGCCCTGGGCAGTGTAGCATACAGTCACCAAGGACTGAGACAGAACAATTCTTGCTAAGCTTTACAGGAAATTTTAAAGGATTTTCTGGGGTATTTTTCCCTACATCCTTTTTCTCCTTAGTTTCGACTCTCCGCAGGTGCAGCTTTGTTTTGTCACCTAAGCCAGTTGTTACTTTTTTCTCTAGATATAGGAGACAGTAGCATAAGAATCACTCGTTTCTTGTTTGTTATTGTTTAATATCTGTTCTACCGGTACAATTCCTAAAATAAAGATGTATTAGTCACAATCTTACTCTTTCCTAAAGGTGCTGGGCATGCATTTCCCATGATTCAGCTTTACAATGTGTATACTTTCTGTGCCTCACAATGCATTCTTCCCATTCTCTTAATCATGGGCATAGTGAAAAAAATATTCCATTTTCAGTAATTTGGGTTTGTTTCTGGGATTTTAATAGTCCTCATATCTTTTTCCAGAGTGAATGTAAAGTAGCAAAATTCCGTGATTATGAAGAAAAACTCATTGTTTCTGCCTGGTATAATAAGGTGAGTTGAAATTTAGCCAGTGAATCGATGTTTAGAACAGTGTTTATCAAACATTTTGACCATGAACCACAGAAGGAAATATACTTTATACTACAAATTAGTATGTGTTCATGTTTATGTATAACTGAACAAAGTTACCTTGACTGTGTGTGTTGCACTCAGGTGTTTTCTATTATATTCTCTCGTTTTCTTTAAATGTTGATCATAATCCAAATTTACTTTATATTTTAATATTTTTAGTTGATTTTGAAAACCACTAAATTGATTTCATGACTCACCAACCTTTAAGTTAATGCACATGAAGCACTCATACAGTTCTTAAACATTTTTAGAATCGCCTTATTTGAGCTAAAACATTTAATTTGTGCTTCATAAAGTGTTTCTGTAGAAATACGAATATCTGTATAATGCAAAATTAATTGCTTCTAGTACTCAGCATGTATTTTAACATCCCTAAAGCCTCTCAGTGTATCCTTTGTTGTATTTTCTTTTTTTTATCCAGAGACTGCTCTTTAAGAATTGTCTATCTGTCCTAACAGAGAAAATAGTATAAAATAATTCGGTATATTTTATTTTGTCATCCTTAGTATGGTGGGATGTTTTCAAGAGTAGCATTTCCTGATGTATATGGTTCTTTTGAGTATCCTAATCAGCTAGCATAGATAATAACACAGCCATTATCTACCTTAGCTGCCATTTATTTAGTATGAGAGAATATCAGTTTATAGACTCTCCACATGTGAAGCCTGTGCTTCACCATGAAGAACTGGTTCTCCATCCTCAAACATGCCTTTTTCTTGCATGTCATCATACTTTTTGTCTGTGTTTTCTCCCTCCCTTCTCTATTTGGTGAAATCTGGCTTAATTTAGCAAGACCTTGAAGGAGATTGTGTGAGGTGTCCCCAGAACCTTCCTTCATGGGTTAGCCATCCTGGTTAAGATTAGGGACAATGTATTATTTTCCTTGTTGTTCTGTGGCCTCTTGTTACATAAATCATCAAAGATATTAGAGCCAAATAATGCATTATTTAATCATTTTTCAACCCATATTTTTTGAGCATTTACAATATTGTTGTCTATTGTACTGGTTACCAGTGAAGCTAAGTTCAGTAAAATCGCTTTATGTGATCTAGTGAGAGAGGAGTAGTGACTTCTTCCCTTAGTAAGAAACCCAATAGCCACAACTACAGTAATTTGTCATGTACTGATATATAGCTAGACCATAGTAAATTTGAACTATTCTGTGATTCTCAAACTTTAGCATTCAACAGAAGACTTGTTAAAACACAAACTATTGGACTTACCTGCAGAGCTTTTTATTCAGTAGGTCTGGGTAGAATCCACAGGTATAATTTGCACTTTTAAATTCCCAGTTGTGCAAACGTTAATCCAGGGACCACACTTCAAGAACCATTGATCCTAAGCTTTTCTCTTGTGCTGTGTCTGCTCATAATGGCTGGAGTAATGGCCCCAACACAAAAATTTGCCTTGGGACTTTTTTCTGTTGCTAGAATTAAGCTTAATTCTGGAGCATTATTTTAAGCTACTGTTTTTAACAATTTCAAATTTAATGGGTCAAAATAGAGAAACAGGGATTTATGCCTTTGTTTTCCCCTTTCTTACTGGCATTATCACGTGGAGTGTAGCTCCTGAACCCTTAATTTTTCTATAACAATGAGGAAGACACCAGCTATATAGAATTGTTTTGAGGATTAAATGACTTTGTATATGTGGAAAGCACTTTGCAAACTCTACATAGTCATGTTATTTGTTTATTTTTGTTCAGAGTCTAGCATTCCAGAAATTAGGGATGGAATCTAGACTCGTGAGCGGCAGTGGTGCTTACAGAGACACGGGGGCTTGTGCTCCTGCCCGGTCTTTCCTAGCACAGCAGCGGCACATCACCAGCACCAGAAGAAATCTCTCTGTTAAAGTTCCTGCTACGACATCTGATTAAACTGCAAAAGAACACGTAAACAGAAGTGCCCTTAAAATATTTTGTATCTTTCAACTAACTACCAGGTTGGAAAAGAAGTGTATGATTCTGGATATCAGCTATTTTAAAATCAAAATGCATAAAATTAGTCTTGCCAGCTGATTTTGAAAACAGAATGTGAAATTAGCTATCTGGGGAAGCATGTGTGAATAAATGGAAGATATAATAAGGCAAAAATCTCAAACATTTGTCTTTTGAGAGTATTATTTCAAATTGACTTTGTATATTTTAGTTTAATGTTTTCGGTTGGACCAGTAACTAATTTGCAATGTGTAATCGGTAATATGTAATCTAAAAATACATCTATTTTAGTGTTTTGGTATAAAAATGGTTGTGAAAAAAAATAGTTGTGAGGTAGGCACGTGGAGAACTATATAAGAGTTATATTTTTTGACTTGACCTACACAAGGCGTTACCTCTGTCCTCTAATTCTGTCGCTGAATGGGTATATTTTATCATGTAATGGAGGATATAATATTTGGAAGATTGGACTATTAAAATGACTTCTCCATAGTAGAAGTGACTACTTGGCAATTGTGCAGATTTAGAAGAGGTCACAGTTCTCATATGTACCTACTATAAACTAAGGCTTCTGTACAGCATGGTTGAAATGTTAAGGGTATAGAAATGAACTGACTTTAAGAGATGACTTTCTGATGGGAAGCAAGCTAAAAAATATACTTCGTGTGAAATGCCCACACTATTTTAATATAATTAATGAAGATTACAATTATTATTACTTTTAAGCATAAAATTATCAGGGTTTCTGCTAAAAAAAAAGATGCATTAGTAGTTTTGCCTCTTCACTGAAAAGAGATAGATAGTGAAGTAGAGGAACAATTTGGAATCACTTTTTCTTTTTTTTTTTTTTTTTGCGGTATGCGGGCCTCTCACTGTTGTGGCCTTTCCCATTGCGGAGCACAGGCTCCGGAAGCGCAGGCTCATGGGCCCAGCCGCTCCGCGGCATGTGGGATCTCCCCAGACCAGGGTGCACGAACCTGTGTCCCCTGCATTGGCAGGCAGACTCTCAACCACTGCGCCACCAGGGAAGCCCTGGAATCACTTTTATCTTGCTTACTAATTAAGGAATTTGTCTTGGGTTGAGTTTATGGTATTCAGTTCATTTCTGCCCAAACCTCCTTTTTTCAAAGGCATTACTCTATTATTTTTGGTCATTTTTAAGAGTCACACTTTGGAATTTTAATTTAGTTGAGTTAAATCTGTGCTATCCAATAATGTAGCCAAAAGTCACAATGGCAATTTAATTAAAATTAAAAATTCAGTTCTTTGGTTGCACTAGCCACATTTCAGTTGCTCGATAGCCATATGTGGCTAGTGGCTACAGTACTGGACAGTGCAGATATAAAATACTTTCATCATTGCAGAAACTTCTTGGACAGTGTAGTACTAAATCTTTTTATAATAACTTGGAAACACTCATTGATGTTAGACCACAAAAATGAAAAAAAGAAAAATGTTAGGACGATTTCAGATATGAAAAATAATTGAATTATGATGTAACTAGTATCTTACATTCCTTATGGTTGAATACCTCATGTTGTGACATAATCTTTCCAGTGCTATTCAGAACTACATACCTATCAGCATATGTCTAGACCACGGGTCAGCAAACTTTCTGTAAAGGGACAGATGGTCGATGTTTTAGTAAGTATTTTAGGTTTTGTGGGCCATATGATCTATCGCAAGTACTCGACTCAGCTGTAAGTATAAAATCAGGAGCCATATACAATATGTAAATTAAATGGGTGTAGTTATATTTCAGTAAAACTTTGTTTGCAGAAACTGGCAGTAGGCCAGATTTGGCCTGTAGGCTGTAGACATCTGTTCTAGATTTTATTCTTAGCTTTTTTTTTTGCAAATATGAGTATTGTTCCATTTACAGTATTATTCATTTAGATACTTGGTTTTTATATTCTATACCAATAAATGTTTTCTAATCACTGAAAATATAAGAATTTCATACTATATTTGGGTCTCTGAGATTAGGGAGCATCTGTCAGGATATTTTATCAGGGTTACTTCTTTTGACTACCTCTTAGATTTTGGTGTTCTTTACTGGTACAATTATATTGTTGGATTTCATTTTCCTGTTTTATTGTAGTCTCTGCTTGCCTGTGACTTTTAGTGAAATGAAATAAGTTTTTGAAAATATTTTAGCATGCTAATTAAAATTTTCTAAATATTATAGCATTTTGGTACATTTTGGTCAATGTAAGATATCTGCTCCTTTGGTGTTTACTACTTGCTTATAATCGAGATTTCACAAGCTCTTCAAGCTCCCTTTTAATGAAATTTATTGTAAAACATCAATTTCAATAAATTAGTATTTTCACAGTTCAATTGCTTATAAATTTTCAATCATTATATTTGGAATTTCTGAAAAATTCATGCAATTTCTGAATAAGGATGTAAGGCTAGATTCTTTTTCCTAAATAGAGAAAAAGCAAATTTTGTGATTTAGCACTTTTCTAGTTGGTAGAATTTAAAATGCTCAATATGTATTTATACTAATAAATTACTAATGTAATTTAAAGTTCTGTATTATTGTGATTAATCATATGGAAATTCAGGAACTGATCAGAAGTGAGAGTCTTTTCCACATCTGGTTAGTGTAGTGAGATTGACACCCTGTGGGTGGTAAAGCATTATAAATATTCATCTTGAACCATGATTATACATGTCTGTGCTGTGAGGCTTGAGTGCATATACCAGGGAAGAGAAATTCAGCATTTATCTCTCTGATTGATAAGGAATTGAATGTCCCAGTGATTATAAAGTAAAACCACAGACCAATTTGGGAATGATCTTTAATTTTGAGTATTTGCTCTAAGATTAATAAGTATTCCTTTACCTTTTTAAAATAAAAGTGTGTATACATATGACAATGATGTTTATCCTCAGCTTAACTTAATGTATTGTGAAATATTTGAAGTTCACTCTATTTTTTTTAATGAATAAGGCTGTTGAACTAATGATTTAATATAGATTAAGAACTAATGTCTTGTCTAGAAACATTAAACTGAGTAGCCCTTACTCAGATGTCATCGTCTTTGATAACTGGAGCGCTCATTTGAATGTCAAATAATGCTTCTGCATCTACACCTGTTGCTGTATAGTGGCACATGTGGCCCAGTGGGTTGGCTTTTAGGCCACAGTACTATCTGTTTTAGGTTCTCTATATGTATATTTAATGAGAAACATTCCTATGTAAAAATGTGTGTATATGGTTGTATGCATACATTCTTGCTGTGAACCTGTACCTTGCAAAGAAGTAGTTTGGAAATTTGTAAAGCACAAACATAAAAGGAAATCGTGTGCAGTTATTAAACTTGATGGAGCTTAAATGTAATTTTTAGTTTATAAAAGGTTCTTTCTATTTTCTATGGCAAAGACTTTGACACTTGAAAAATAGAAGCAATACTTGATTTATTTTTGTATTTAGTATATTATTTTAAATAAATGATTGTCCAATAACAATACTTGTCAAATGTTTTAAAGTAAATAAACTTTCCGATTCTGTGTCTGATATGATGAATTTTTAGTGGGTACAAGTGCACATTTGTTGCTTTAAATAAAGGACTTAAATATTTAGATTGGTAAAGAAAAAATAATTCTAATTTTTTCATTTGTTTTTGTGTGTGTGTGTGTGTGTGTGTGTGTGTGGTGAATGATGTATAAAAATGATTTTTTTGGTGTGCTCTTTTATATCTCCAATTTGCATTATCATGGAATCCAGAATATTTCTGGGGTTTTTTTGTGTTTTTTTGGCAAAGACTACAACTATATCCATTCTTTCTCCCCTTCTTCCTTTAGCAATAGAACCCCATACTTCAGCTTGTTATATTTACCATGGGGTGGGGGAGTTAGATTAACTACTTGCCAGATTCCCTTGTAACTAGGTGGGGCCATTTAACCAAGTTCTGGCCAAAGAGATGTGAATAATAGTGATGTGTGCCTATTAAAAGAATGGGCTGCTTTCCCTAGCTCTTCTCCCTCCCCATCTGGAATGCCATGTGCCTGAGGGCAACCCTAGTGGAACAATAAGGAAGAAGGCACTTGTATCCTGAAATCACCATTTAGTCATATCAGCTGTGGACTTCCAACCCACATTTCTCTTAGTTAAGCAGTTTTTAAAGCTGCTTTATTTGGAGGTTTCTTTCTTCCAGTACCCCATTTCCGAATCTTACACAGGTTTTTCAAAATGAGTTGTGAAGTTTTTAGAAAAGTGCAGGTGTTTCATGTTCTTGGAACATGTCTTGGAAAGGTTTAATTCTGTTCATGTTAATGGATGCTCAATAAATATTTGTTTAATCACATGAAGTTAGTTAATGTGTCAGTTATGGAAAGACGATGGAGACAGAAGTGAAGTCCTATCTCACTCTAGGTAGATCAACATGATCCCAAAAGACCATGATTCTACTAATTTGACTTTCTGAACTATACAATAAATGCTGGCCATACATTATTTTGTGACTAGTTCACTAAGAACAACCCAAAGGTCTAGCCCTGTACTGACCAATGTGATGGCTGTTAGCCACACTGGTTATTAAAATAAATTTAGATTTTATTTCCTCCTTCTAGCCACATATGGCTAGTGGCTCTGTTACTGGACAGTGCAGATTAAGAACATCTCTATCATCACAGAAAATTCTATTGGACAGCTCTACTCTAGATGTCTAAATTAAATGTACACATTCTACAGCTCTCCGAAGTTCCATATCATAGGGGATAACAAATGTAGTGAAGTGAAACTTTCAGGCATCACCCTGCACACAGTGCAATGCTCAGGGATAGAGCTACAGTTGGATCCTTAATCTGGCTATGGTTTTGATGGTGACGTGCTCCATTCCCTTGCCCACCTGGGCTGCAGCAACTTGCTATCAGTAAGTGGTTAAAAGTTGCAAGTTAGACCTCTTGCCTCTTGCTTCAACTCAAACATTCCCCTCTTCCATAAATTCTTCCGGGATTTCTCAAAAAAGATGAGATACATTTTTCTAAAACTTTCAAAGTCTTTGTCTTAGCGACCTTAATGTGATCTACCTTTGTTTTTTTTTTAATGTGTCTGTCTTGCTACACTGTTTCTTGAGGTCACCGGCCTTATTTGGTTCATCTCTGCTTCCCTCACAACACTCAGCACCGTATCTTCTACACAGTTAGTAAATATGTACTAGCTGCATTAGAATTGCTGATGGACACAATGTTTTCTTTAGAAATCCAGTCTCAAGATGCTCTGAAGAGATCAGGGGGTGCATTGGAAGGAATATCTGAATAGGCAAAAGATCTTCCACCCATAGACTCAATAAACTGCTTCACATGTATCAGTACTTCTGAGAAAAATCCAGAAACTAGAAAGACTCCTACACACTGGGTGACTAAGAAAATACCCACATTGAAAAAGTTAGGAAACGCTGATACCCTCTCACCATAAACCCCACCCCAGCAATGTGCCATGCAATTGGCAAATGGGAGGAAACCCTCAACTACCTTCAACCTGAGGAGTGAAGGCTTTGGGCCAAACAAACATCTAGCATCACAATTTTTATGGCTGCTACCTGAAGGACTAGCTTCTAACTCACCCATCTCTGGAAGCTGACAGGTCCTGGCATTTGCTAGTTCCCTGGGACCTCAAGGAACTATGAGACAGTTTTGAACTTGTACAAGCACTTGCCCAGCTCGTTCCCCTTGGCTAGGAGCTGAGTGAGCAGGCAATAAAGTTCAGTTCCCAGCTGCTCCCTGGAAAGGGTTTGACTGCACATCTGGCAGTGACTTTTCCAGCTGCTGCCTGAGGATTTGCCTTCTAACTAGCCTGCATCTGGTAGATAATGGAGTAGGCAATTATTAGTCCTCTCAGAGCTTAAGTGGGCATGTGGGCATTTCCTGTGGCTTTTCCCCTTAGCTCACTCCAGTGAAAAAAACAAGCTTCCAGCTTCT